ATTTTGAAAGGTGTGATGTGGTGGAAGGAGAGAGACTGCCCACCGAGTTGTGCACCCTTGGACAAAGTAACTTTCCCTCCCAGGGACTCCCATTTCCCCGCCGAGTCCAAATCCATGGAGGGCGGGGACCCAGCTGTCCTGCGGAAAAAGGCCTTGTGATGTGTACCGTGTCTGCGTTTCCACGTGTGCATTTATTGTTATTGCTCAGGATAGTGTTGAAAAGGCAGACAAATCCCATTAATTACAAAGAGCACAAGCCAGAGATACAGAGAAATAAAGAGTGTACAATAAGAGCACAGTCACTTCCCAGCCTCGATTGTCCCAGAGCCCCCCAGAGCCCGGGCAGCTTGTGGAAGCTGGAGCGGCACCATTTCCTCGCTACTCTGTTATAAAATATGTGCACACAAGAGTTAGCAAAGTGTGGCGACCCCCAAGAGGAAAGGTCCGGAGGGAGAGCACCACAGGCATTACAAAACAGACTTAGGGGGCTGAGAAGGTCCCGGAGCAGCCTCAAAGGTCTTGTTTTTGGTGGAGGGGGTGATGGCTGATGCCCAGGGCCTGGGATCCCCTTCCCTCTACTTGGTCGAGTAGGATCTCTATATCACAATCAGGAGAGCTTGTCTTGGAACTTGGAAAAGACCTGGGGGTTTTCTGCTATTGTTTGATAGGACTTGGCTCTGGAAGACCCAAAGCCTTCAAGAAACGCACCCCAACAATCTTCTAATGGGATTTCAGACACTATGGAGAGAGTTTAGGGTGGAAGGCATGTCACGGTACACCCAGCTGACAGCCTCCCTTAAGTGGAGCACGAATGCGTAGGGGGAGTCTGGGTGGTGTGAAGGTCCAGGAAAGAAATTGCTGCATCCCAAAGGACCTATCACACAATCGCCAAAAAAGCTTTGAATAAAGAACAAGAAGTGACCCCTTCCACCCCTGGCAAAAAAAAAAAAAAAAAAAAAAAAAGTTCAGGAAAGGGAGATGGGAATAAATGTTTCTTCATGAGGAGAGTTAGAAATAAAAGCAACTGGGCCATGAATTCTGGTAGTTCCAGGTGTGGAAGAGAGCCCTCTTCCTCCTCTGACCTGGGGCAGATGCAGGGTCCACTCCCAGGACAATCAAGGTGGGTGACTTTGGGTCCCAAACTGAGGTTGGGGTGGGGGACTTGGTGGCCTCTCCTGGTGACACCCTGACTTAGGATACAGGTGAGATGGTGGGAGGAACATATGGCTTTCCTCAAAATTTAGGATGCTCTTTTTGCTTCTCCTCATGGGACACTCTATCTAGTGACCCTGAGTGAACAGTATTTACGATGGCAGGAAGGAAGGCCTTTGCACATCGAATGGCAGGGCCCTTGGGTGGGGGAAGTGCTCGGGTGGAAGACTTGGCAATATTTGAAAGCTTACTTAAAAGAATAGCTGTGAGACAATAACCAGGACATTTTGTTGAAAAAGAAAAAACTTATCCTTCTGCATGGTAAAACATTATCTGAAGCAACAGTAATTAGAACTGTATGGCTGGTGCCCGATGAGCCACTCAGATAAGGGAACAGAAGAGAAATTCCAGAAATAGACCCAAATCTATACAAGTTATCAGTATGTGGTACAGGTGGCATTTCAGCATGATTGGGAAAAGAGCAGCTATTCAGTAAGTAGGCTACCCAGGCTGAGACGGGTCCAGAATCCTTGGCCCAGTACCATCATTAACACTGGTCTGGTCTCAAAAGCGGGACACCCTCTCTCTTGTCTACTCTGTGTTCTGGTGGGGACAAGGGGCAAGGGGCCATGGTGAAGGGTTGGTGGGAGCACTGGAGGCTGCTTCAGAGTTAGGCAAAGCTCAGGCCCGAGTCGCAGGGAGGAAACATTCCTTCCCACCCACCTCCAAAGATGGGTGATTCTCCAGCCCCAAGGGTCACTGAATGGGCTCCCTGCTCTTCTCTCATCTGTTGAGGGGAGACAAATTTGCTGAGCTTAGACCTAAGAAGGAATCGGCTATCTTCTCCTGGAGCCCTTGTCCAGAGGACAGAGAAGCAGCTGAGTGGATGGTGCAGTCCCAAACTGGAAAAAAAAATGTACATTACAGAGTATATATTTACTGTGTTCTGTTTGATCTTAGTTTTTTGCCTTTTTTTTTTTTTTAAACCACAGACATTTCAGAACCACACTGCGGGAGTAAGAAGAGTCAGCAATTGAAAGCATAACCATTGCATAGTATTAAATGAACAGAGACGGTGAGTTCTTTATTTACAATTATTGTCTAGATAAAAAAATTCATAAAAACAGATGAATGGTCATAAATTATTGACCCCCTAATGGGGTGAACTGCCAAACGTACCCCATGCTGCTAGATATAGGACGCAGAGTGCAAGCTTTATGTACTACAGTGAGTTTTGACAAACCAATCATTTCCTCTGTGTGTGTGCGTGTGCGTGTGCGTGTGCGTGTGTGTGTGTGTGCATCCATCATCCCTGACAAGAAAAGACCAACACTGATGTCGGGTGTCCTCGGTCACTTCCACGGCTCCTTGTTCCCCAAGCTAGGCTCTGCTCAGAGAAAGCCCTCCTGTCTTCCCAGTGTCCCGGCTCCAAACGAACAGGGACCATGGGGGGCAAGTGCGGCTTTCCTGCTATAGGGGAATGAGGTCATGGACACAGGATTGGAACCAAGAAGAAGGTGGGTGATGGAAAACCTTGAGAAAGGAAACTACAAAAAAACACCATGTTCCAAAGCTGCTCCAGGTTTTGTCACATGTGGAGGTCTTCACTTTCTCGGCAGGAGAACAGCAGGCTGGCTTTTGGCGGTGTTTGTATTGGAATCCAATAAGCACATCTGAGGGCTGGTCACCCCCTTGGGGATGCAGTTTTCTCTGCTAGGTACATTCAGAGAGATTCCCTCACGACATTTAGGTGATGCTCTCACACACAGAAAGTCCTCCTTCCGGGATGGTTTTGCCAGGTGGGATGGGCTGACTTGGGATCCCAAAGCCTCAGGTTCCTTCAACAGCCACCCAGCCGTAGGCCCTCCCAGCTGACTATGGCTCTTTTCCCGAGTGGCTCTCATCTTGTTTGTGGAAGAATTCTCTGGGCTTGGAGAAGGGAAGGGCCGAGCTGACACAGAGCAACTGTGGGAAGGGGTCAGTATGAGGAATGAATTTCGCAAGCGAGGTGGAAAGTGTTTGGTTTTCCTCGAAGCATGGGACGTCATTGATCATGGTATTCAAAATGTCTTTTGCACTGTACAAGTTTATGGAAAAAGATCGTATGCTGAAAAGTCTCAAAGCAAACTTTGTATTAAATACAAAAGTTCTTTTATGAAAAAAGCTGATACCCACAAAGTGCTTAGCAGTTAAGAGGCTGACGTACAATTAAATAAGCTTTCATTAAGTGGGATTACTAGTGCTGTTATTGTCTTGGGGGAAAAATAACCACCTTTTCTCACCTGTGATACTGTAGGGTTTCAGAATGGCTTTCTGTCTGGGAAAGCAAGACTTGCTGTCAAAAGGCTACAGTATATATTGCGACTACAGGAAGACAATTTGGTTTAAAAATCACACTGAATACATCTCAATATACACATCATAAGGTTCGTTCGGATCTAAATAGTGCAGAGAAAAAGGCTATTCTTCTTCAAAAATAAAAATAAAAGCAGCAAGCCATCATGATCCTCATCCAGTATGCCAACAGCTCATATGCTGCAATTTATAAGTAAATAAACCTCTAAATTACTTAAAAAAAATCAACACAGTAGCATTTATAATATTGCAACACTACCTCAACCTTGTCCAGACAGTGCCAAAGAGAACCTCCTTTTGAAATGCTCTTAGTAAACTCAAGTGAGTTTCATCGAGAGAAAAGTCTTCGACCAGAGCTGGGTGGACCCTGTCATCCTCGGGCCGGGCCCGCCGTTAGTGCTGCGAACCTAGGAAGCCTTCTCTCCTCCTCTCCCTGTGTCTACGGAGCACGGAGCACTGTGTTAACCCCCTTCCAGATGGAGACTCCTCTTCGGTCACGTTTGGCTTCTGCCTGAGCCTCCCGCGGTAGTGACATGATTGAACGGAAACAGCAGGCAAAAATCAGAGCATGGCTATTGGAAAACATCGAGGTTGCAATCCAGGGAAGTGTCTGTTGGGCTGAGCTGTTTTCTATAGCATCTCAGCCACCAGTGTTCTTAAACCATACAAATAGCCAAGGACGTTATCTACAGGATTGTAAACAAATTACATTCTTGTTTTAGGACATAAATAAGTTAAAATAGAGCAATTTAAGCGGAAACAAGGCAACATGCCGGCAAAAAAACTTTATATATCCGTGTGTGTGTGTGTGTGTGTGTGTGTGTGTGTGTATGTGTGTATATATATATATACACACACATATATATATACACACATATCTATATGGACGTATACAGTCTTGGAAAAGTATACGTTGATATAGATACAAAGAAATGGATATAACCTCGTGAGTGTCTATGAAGTTCTTCGGTTCGGTTGGTGCAAATTTACTAGGCGAGTTAAGCTCTGCAGTTTCAAAAAGTTGTTAAATTAACCTATACAACTGAGACCATGCTGCACAAGCATTTCAAAAACTCACAGACCAGTGGATTGGATAAATAGTCTCAGAAAAGAGTCTGTTTGCAGTTCCCGCCTAAGAAAACAAACAAAAAACCCTCCCCGACCCCCCCAAAACCAAACAAGGGGAGGACTGGAAGTGTCCAGTACATTCATGCAGGGGACATGGTGGCCTGGCGGGTGCATGGCTGGTCCGTGTCTGGGTGGGAGCCGGGAAGGGCTGGTTCTCAGAAAATCGCTCACTTCCATAAGCCCCCCTCCCCGAGCAGATCCCGCCCCTTGCCTCAAAGTGAAAAAGAGTTCAAACAGCATCGCAGCCAGAAAAAGGGTCTGTTGGGTGGAAATGTTGGTTTTCTCGCCAGTATTTGGTTTCCTGTTGTTGCTCGTTGCTGTTTGGGTGAGCTGGGTGCCTGGATGGATGGGGCCCGGGGAGAGGTGGGTCGGTGGCAGCGGGGTCCTCAGCTAAAGCGACGTCTCCAGGCTGTGGATGGGGCTCCCTGGACTTGAAGAGGTAGCTGATTTGCTTGTGTCGGTCGTCAGGTTGATCCCGCTGTCGATGGCGCTGTTGTTCTTGTTGAGCGATGACGGCGGGCTCGAGTTCTGCTTGAGTGCGGCATCTTCTTCCAGGTCGGTGTCATCAATGAGGGGGATGTGGGGTTGTGAATCTTCGATCCGGAATTCAGGGTGAGCCATGAAATTATGGATGGAGGTTCGAGACTCAGGCTTTTCTAGACCTTCATAGAGAGAGCTACGGAACGCCTTCACGACGCGAATCTGCAAGGGAAGCACAGGGGTGAGAAGCACTGTCCTGGAGTGAGGGGCAGCAGCCAAGCTGGGGGGGCGGTCAGAGGAGGGGTTATGGGGAGGGGTTAGGGCACAGCAGGCGGCTGGAATCCACAGTCGCTGGGTGTTATGAGCACGGGCAGGAGGGGGAAGAATGGGAGAGGGGGCTCAGGTTATATGCATCCATGAGGTTTTAAAAACTGCTTTGGTTTTGGTCAGAACTACAATATTAGGACAGGAGGAATCAAGCCCCATCACAGAGATAGTGGAAACAGTGGTTAGAGGAAGCATAGTCCACTCCGGCGGGCACCCAGACCTAGTGAGAGACTGAGCCTTGTTAACTTTAAAGCAGAAGTTCAACCATGCAGAAGGGGATTGGGACCAGGTGGGAATAAAGGAGGAAGGAGGAGAAGCTCGTTTTAGAACATTAATCTTAAGAAAACCACACGCAGTTAAGAAACCATACAACATGGAACAGATAACATGTCACGAACAGAAGAGGAACGGAAAGGAGAGACAGCGGGATGAACTGGGATGGGAGAAGATACACGAGGGCCAGAGAACAGGAACATCAAACCGAAGGCAGCAAAGCAAACCAAAGCCAACTCAGGGCTTTCTGGGGTGCAGAGCAGAGGCAGCCAGAAAGCACGGAGGAGCCGGCAGACTGATGACATTCAGGGGTGGGAGCATGCCACGGTGAGGGATCGGGAACCACACGGCACACACAGACAGACACACAGCTACACTTGGAAGCCTGGACAATGTGAACGGAGGTCTTTGTACCCAACGTTTCTTTCCTTCATGCATTTGGGAGGTAAACACTCGAGTATAGACTCAAAGCCCTGGCCAGTCATTGGAGTTGACTTTGGGGGTCTCTTATTTCCTGAAGCATTTTATTTCTTTGTTTGTGCTTTGAAAACACAACCCCCCCCAATGGAGGCCAGAATCAGATGGCCAAACCCAGCCCTGGGTGGGATTCTAGAGGCTGTGGACCCGAGGCACAAAAAAGTACATTCTTTCATTTTCTGTGTCTTAGTTTGAACCCATGGTTTTCGGAAGAGTGAAAGGAGGTTGGACATCAGGTCTTCCAGACTAGCGGAAAGATCACTGGACTCATAGGGAGACCTGAGTCTGAGTCCTGGCTCTGCCACTTTTGATGCTTTAACCACGGGCAAGACACGCTGCCTCACTGGTTGTCCTCTGCCCTACCTCACGGGGTGCAGAGGAACAGGACCCTCGTGTTGGAGAGAGGGGTCCCTTTCTCCAGACTCCTGGGAGGGGGAAGCCATGCCAGTCATCAAGAGGCAGATGGGATTTGGGACAAAGGTATTTCCTCCTCTCTTCCTAGCCCCAACTCAGAGTGGAGGTGGTGGCGGGGGGAATACAAGGCAGCATCAGTGCCTCCAAGGAGCAGAGCCTCAGCCAAGTTGGCTGTGGAGTGGAGGGTGTGCTCACGGCCCTCCCTGTAGAGCAGTGGGAACCTCCACACCACAGGCCTGAGGCAGGGGTGGGGTGGGTTGGGATGGGGGGTGCAGAGAACCAGTGGGGTTCTTGTGGGGAGGCCCTTGTGGTACCAGGATCTATGGACCTCTCAGCTAAACCCAGGGGTGTCTTGTTGGTGGGGCACAGTGGGGAAAGCCCTGTCCATGGAAGTGAATTTTCTAGATGGCTGCGGCTGATGGTTTTAAGTGTCCTGGCATGGGGCTTATTGTACTCTTTCCATGGGAAGTGTTTCTACAGCACAGGAGTGCCTTTTGATTTAGTGTACACAGAGAAGAATTTAACTTTAAGTTGGTCAGTAATACTTTTGGTCTTCTGGAAGACCCCAGAGTTTTGAGAGAGAGATATATATATATAGTTTCTCTCTTTGTCAGCCATCATTACTCATTCTGACTTTTCCTTGTTTGCTCAAAAGCACCTCTGTCCCTTTTCCCTCTTATGTGTTGTGGGATGGGGACTCCAGGGGACCCTGCTTGTTGGAATCATGCTTTAAATAAGAGGCATCAGGCGCCAAGCGAGAGTCAGCAGACTACCGTGATAGCCATTTGACTGCTCGGAGGTCTCGTTCTCCCTGGATTCCCTGTTCGTGGCTCTGTATAGATGATTAAATATTCTGATCTCCTGATGAGCAGGCCATTTACACCCTTGATTAAGTGAAACCAACAAAAAAGGTGTCATGGGCCTCATCTTTCTTATCTGTCAAATGGGAAGCATCGCCACTGGAACTGTCCAGCCTAGTGTCCGGTGTGTTCTGAGGCTGAATTGCAATAAGGTGGTAGGAGGAGGAGGGATGGTGGTGGGACCCTATCATGTGACTGAAAATGCAGAGGGGACGACACACAATGAGATGCAGGCCCCTTGCCCTCCCCCTGGCATGGAGACAACAGAAAGAATGAACTACTCTGGACAAGACTGTGGGGACAAGACTTTTCGGGACACCCCGCCACGGTCATCTCAAGTGTCCACTTCGGTTCTCTCCGAGGCTGAAATGAAAAAAATATGGGAAGAAAAAAAAGCTCTTCCGCCTCCCATCCCTGCCTACCCTAAAGTGAGATTTTGGGGCAGAAGCTGCACTTGGGTATGGGGGGATGGGAGAGGGGAAAGGACCCGGCCTGTGGGAGTTCCGACATTGTGGTTTCATCAGCACAAAGGGAGCAGGAGACCCACACCCCTCTTGGAGGGCTCTGAGGGAATGCGTCGGCCCTGGGCTGGGACAGGCTGGGACGGTTCAACATACTCGAATGTTTACCCGGCTTCAGGGAAGCCAAGAGTCTGGGATTGATTCACATTCATTTCAGGCTCAAGGTTAAAGACTCACAACCTCTTTTAATTTCACTCTCTCTTGCTGAACTCTGTCTCCAGGGTTCTCTAGCCCTCTAGGGAAACAAACACATGGAATATTCAGACAGTGGAGAGGTCTAGGCCCCACCCCAGAAGCAAGCCATTTTTTCGCCAACCCAAGATTGCACTAAGTTCGTTACCAAAACACTAACGAGAGGCACAGCTTTCTTTTCTTTCCTTCTTCATCTCTCCCCTTAAGAGATGTGCACTCCTTGCCCTAGCCGTCTTGGAATCAGGAGGGGAAAGGGGGCATGGCAGCCGGAGATGCCCCCTGGGTGGTAGTGGCCAGGAAGTGGCCGGTTCTGAGTTAGGAGTCTCTGGTGCTTGCTTGGCCTGGTTGGTTCGAAGGAGGAGGACCTTTGCTGACCAACACAGCCTGCTACAAACTTGCTAAATACAAAAATGGTTTGAGAGGCGTTAGTTGCTTGAGGGGTATAAGCAGGAGTGGCAGGGGGCTTGGCTTCGGGTTACAGAGCCGAAGGTGCCCTTCTCCCCAGTCCGGGCCAGGCTGGCAGAGACTCCAGCAGAGAAACAGCTTTCTTGGCCTTCTAGAGCCCAGAGGATGGATCCCTTTCCACTTTGTGAGGCTGTAGGCATGGGCACTGGTTCTGGAATGGAAATTCAACCCCTGGAAGCTCCAGGGCTATAGGCTTGTCTGGAAAGTGGTGTGGGACGTTAGGGAAAATGAGGCACCTTGGAGCCAGACCCCTTGCCACTCACTTGTGTGATCGCGGCCAAGTCAGTCCAGTCCTCTGAGCCTCAGAGCCTTTCTCAGTGAAATGGGTGTATTGGCAGATCCTCCCTTCTATTTCCCTGGTGAGGCATATGTGAAGTGAAGGATAGGGGAACTACTTTGGAAAATGTTGAGTGGGGCTCAAGTATAAGGCCTCAGGCGTGTGCCTTTAAGTTTCGGGGGGAAAAAACAAACTCACTTTTGTGTCAGTCAGAAGAAGAAAGCAAGAGTGTGGAGCAGAGTTCCCTCCCAAACATTCTAGATGCAAGTCTGACCTGCCTGTCACATCACCGCATGCACCTGTCCGCCTGGGGCCCTCCACCTCACAGTGGTACCAGGGGAGGGATGGTTGGGGGCTCCTCACCCCAAGGTCATGGGTCAGAAGTCCGCCCCAAGCAGACAGTGGCCCATCACAGGCCTTGGTGGTCAACTCTTGGCAACCCAGGGGATGGTGGTCTAACTCCTTCTAAGGTATAAGATCCCAGGTATTTTGGGTTCAGCATGCACAGGGCCACCCTCCTCTGCTGGAGAATCCCTGGGAAGAAGTCTCTGCCTGCTCAGAGGAGGTGGGAGGCAGCCTACCTCTCCAGCCCACCCAATCCAGAACCCCTTCTCTGACTCCTGGCTACTGGTGTCACACCTCCCTGTGGGAAAAAAAGCCTTTGACTCCTGAAGAGACCCTGCCTGGTAACTAGAGGGCCTTCAGAATCCTTGGAGAACAGAGGAGATGCTGCTGTTATAGCAAATATTCAGGTGAGGGAGGAACTGGGAGTTTTTATTGAGAGTTCACACTGTGACCGTCTTGATCAAAATGTGCGTGTTGAAGCTATTTGGGGGGATTCCCCTTTGGAACCAGTACTCTTGGCTACGGGGATGGTCAGGCTCCCACAATACACCCCAAATTACAGTCTAGATTCTCCAGTAGAGGGTAGGAATACAAGATACTCAAGGAGGCAAGGTGGCAGCTGGATGAGGGGGTCATGCCTGGCCAGCCCCTTTGGGGCCTCAGAGAGAATGGAGGGTGGGCAGATATGGATGTAGTCTCTGAAGAAGGAGTGTTGAGAACTGGGTGTTACTTGACTGGCCTCATTGAATGGTTTTATAAAGGACAGAAGAAAAGGTGAGAATGATGTTGCCCAGGTTTGAGGTGACCGAGCTCCTTCTCTAGGCTGTGAGAACTAAGGTGTGGGGCTAAGCCATGGGAAGACTTCCAAAGTCTGCCTGCATGCCCAGAAATGCCAGGCAGGCTCTGGCTGTGGCCAGTGTGAAGCACCGTGCCTCAAAGAGGTCAGATCCAGCCAGAGGGATGTGGGAGTCACCAGGAGGGATGGCAGGAACCCAAAGAAACGGTTTCTTTCCCCAGAGGCTCTCCAGACTGGAACCACCCCCCTTTTTAAAGTGATCTCTATACTCAAACCAGGATTGTGTTGTGTGTTCTACCAGCTGAGCCAGCCAGGCACCTCCAGACTGGAACACTTGGTCTTTGGACTTCAAGACAGTTGGTGGTGCTGAGCAAAGCCAGGGCTAAGTGGATGCAGGAGGAGGTCAGCTCAGTGAGCCTCTCTGCTGCAGGGGGTAGGGGCAGGATGGGACCAAAGTGTTTCCTGCCCTGAGAAAACCTGGCAGTGCCTTCCTAGTGACTGGACCCTGTCTGCTCAAACAGATCTCCATTTCACCTTGGGTTGCCTGGTCTCCCCATCCCTGGGTGTTTGTGCTATGAATGAACCTAGAAGGGCATTTCTTCCCTTTTCTGCCATGTCCCTGTTACCCTGCCTACCTGGCAGGGCTGCACCCCCCTGACAATCACGGGACATGAGCATAGACCAGCAATAGGCTCTCTGTGGCTCGTGTTTCCCGTCAGAGGGCTCAGGTGGCCCAGTTCCCACCTGGCATGCAGGTCCTCTCCTGCTCAATGGGAGGGGTGTGTGCAGTGGGTGTACTGTGTTTGGATAGGGGTACAGGCGCTGTATAAAGTATGGAGAGATGAAACCCAGAACTCCTTCCTCATCAAAAGCTTGAGGGCTGGGACATATACATTGTGGCAATCTGAGAAGACCAGGACTAGGCCCTCCCCCGCTGTTTGGGAGGGGCTGACTGGAGACAAGGTAAGGAAGGTAGGGGGTAAATAGAGACTTCTTATTCCCCCTGGGGCCAGAAGCTATGGAGGGGTTTGGAAAGATCTAGATAGGCCAGAGATGAGAGATCCAGGTCAGAAGTGGTGGCATGGGAAGGTGAGCTTGGCAGGAGGGAGAAGATGGAGGGGGCCAGAGTCCCCACTACCCCTCAGATGAGGAAGGGCAGGAAACCATGGGTTGGACCAGATCCCCCAGGGATTGCTGACACCCAGCCAAGAAGTGAAGCCTGTTCACTGTTTTCTGCCTGAGGTCAAGTTGAATGGGTAAGAAGCCCCGTCCTTTCTAGGAAGGGGTCAGACCTTCAGCGGGCAGGGTAGTAGTGTGTAAGGCAGTTAATGCCTTTGGATGTATAAGGGAAGAAGGCACAGGGTTCTGAACTACCGTGGCTGGGGCCTTCAGGCTCTGAACTCCTTGGTGGCCTGGGACTCCTCCCTGATTGGGACCTCTGATCAATAGTGACCCCTCACTTGGCTGGACCCCACTGTGACGGACTGGGATCCCTGATGGCCTTGACCCATGGTAACCCTTCACCTAACTAACTGTGAGACTCTGATCTCCTGGCCAACTATGACCTTGGCCTTGTAGGCCAGGCTTTTCCTGTCTGAGTATGGCACTAGACCAATTGGCATACTCCTTGCTGTCCTGGCTGACTGCCCCCCCTTGGCCACTGTGACCCTCTGGTGGGCTAGAGCATGTAAACTGTAAACTCACTCACTGTAAACTCCCCACCAGATGCCAATCCTTGACTGACCCAGACCTTTTTGGGCCACTTTTGACCTTCACGACCCCCTAACTGAATGGTTAAGCCCCTGACTCTGACCCCAGCCAACCCTGGCCCACCAAGGGACGGCCACCCCATGACTGGCTATGCTCTCCTGACCAACGGGGACCCTCCTCAATGATGGTGTCCCCTTAGCCCCCTGGGCCTCACCATGACCGACTGCCCCCCATGTCCTTGGTGCCCCGGCCCCTGCCCGCCCAGCACTGGCGTCGGTGGCGCCCGAGGCAGTAAGGATTCACACTCACGCCCAGCTGCAGCAGGAGGAAGGCTGGTCGGAGAGGAAAGAGCATTGGACAACGACACGCGACTAGGGCTAGAGAGATTGGCTACGTCCTGGCTCTGGCTGGTGACGGAGGACTGTCTCCGCAGGGCCCCCTGAAAGGAGGCCCCGCTCTTGAAAGTATTGACTACTTCAATCTGCAACGGAGGAGAGAACGAGACAAGTTGCGAGAAGAACGGACACACAGCTACACGATTGACAGGCGCAACGGCACGAGCACAGCCGCAGCCACGGTGACAATGACAACGTGACTTAAATCAAACAAAGACTACCAGACACACTCAAAGGCTCTGAAAGACATCTGCTCGGCGCCAGGCCCCTCTGTAGGCCCCAGAGTGCCAGGGAGGGCTGGCCACGAGGGCTGCGCACTGGGGTTTTCATTGCAGGAGGAGAAGCCTGGCTGTGTCGGGAGGCTCTGGGTGGGACACCTCCCCTGCCCCCCCACCCCAGCTCTCCGAGAGGGCTGTCTCCTGAACCTCGGTCACCCCTAAAACCGGGGAGGGGGGCGCTGTGAATGCCAATGAGGAAATGTTCAGGAGCACCCTGTGGGCGCGAAGCAGCCCAGGCGATCTACTCTTGGTTACCTAGGTGTGGTCTGGGCAAGAGGCCCACCCTCTCTTACTTTCCTAGTCCCCTGTGTCCCTCATCCCACAGGGCTGTGAACACACAACCTGGATTAGAACTCCAGCCTGGGCAGAGGGCTATGTGACAGCGTGTGGCCTGTGTGTGTGGGGGCTGGGAAGAAACCCATCCCACATGTGCTTGGCATGTGTGCCCTTGCTGCGCACGTACGTGTCTGTGTAGGCATGGGGAAAACCCAGAGTGGCTGTGACACTGTGGCGGAGGCTTGGAGGGCAGTGTCTGAAGGCCCTGGTGGGGAATATGTCCACATGTGCAGAGATGCCCGGATCTCGCAGGCTGATGCCCGGGCCCAGGAGACTCTGGGGTTGGCCTTGGCTTCACACTGACTCGTGTCCAGCCCTGCACCACCCCTCCTGGTGGCTGCCCCACACCCCTGACCGGAGCCCCACACTCACCTCAGCACTCAGGCCCCCTCCCCACTGAAGGGCATTCCCCCAGAAACCCATGGTAGGTGTGACCCCCGGGCTGAGCCCTCGCTGGTCTGGGGGGTGAGATGGAAGTTTCCTGAGGAGGCTGCAGCTTCTTTAGCAGTCACGGGAGCGTGCATGTGGGGAGCAAGGGTGTACCGAAGGCTGGCGAGGTGAGAGAGCAGAGCCCGAGCTCCGTCTCTGCAGGCCTGTGGGGTGGCACGGAGTACGCCCACCTCCATCCCCCGCCCACCCTGGCTAGGTGTGACCCAGCCCCAGGAGCCTCCTGTACCTGGGTCTGGATCCGATTAAGGCCTCGGAACCACAGGATCTGGCCTCGCCGCAGCTCCCTCTCAGCGTGGTCTATCTCCTCCACATCCTCATTGAGCTCCTCCTCTGGGATCTCCTCCTTCTGCGTGAGCCTGCCCGCCTCCTTTAGGAACTTGAGCCTGCTGGTCGGGATGGTAGCGATGACCTGCAGGGGGTCCAGCGTCAGGGTGATGGGGCCTGTCCCTCAGGTGGCCTCCTCCCCAACCTGCCACCCCTCCCCACTTAGTTATGCTCGGCTCACGCCTTAACTCATCCTACCTGTTTCTCAATTCCATCTTTTATAATTCTTATTGATTTGCTTTGTAATTCACTCATTCATCCAGGGTTTGGGGGCACAGTGGAAAATCTTGGCCTTTAGGAGCTGGACAGGTGTGACCTTGAATACCCCAGACCTTCTAGGTCATGTGACCTTGGGTAAGTCATTTAACTTCTCTGAGCTCTGGTTTTCCCATCTGTAAAGCTGGGGGTGATTCTCAGAGTTTGAGGATTAAGCAAGATGGTGTGTCTAAGTTGCTGCGCATGAACCTGGCCCACAGCGGGCCCTCAGGTCCCTGGGCTCCTTCCTGCTGATCACTGGGTCCTGTGATACCTGAGTATGGGCAACAGAGGTGCAGGGCCTGGGTACCATGGGGGCAGCCAGTCCTGGGACTCAGGGAATGGCTGCCCTCCCAGAAATGGGAGGAAGTATGAGTAGGGGATATGCTTTTATCCTTAATTGCCCTCCAAAGGGCTTGTCCATGGGGCGGAGGTGTGAAAGCGAGGCCCTATGGGGAGGTTGAGGTGGCAGAGATCAGAGGCTCCTTTCATATCCTGTAGGGACAGATGAGGGCTGGCCTGCATACAGACTCATGGGTTCCCTGGAGGTTTCAGCATTGCCCCCTGGCATCATCCTCGGGCATTAGGAGTCTGCTGTCCCGGATGCCAAGAGCTCCCTGAAGGTGTGGGTGCCAGGCAGATAAAGATGGCCTGGCTCTGAGGGTGCCCAGGGAATGGGCTCTCTAAGTCAAATCTAGTTTATCAACTTTCCAAAGAAGCTCCAAAGTTTCAAGAAGGACCTTTTGGATGAAACTAAAATTTCTTCCTATCTTCTAGTTAATTTCTGCTACTGCAACTTTCCACTCAAGCCTGGAACAGCTTGAAGACAAGGACAATGTCTCAGGCCATTTGGGGCTTCCACTAGCTGGAAGATGGAGCATCTTGGGAATAGAGACCCTTTGACCCAGATCCGGCTCCAGGTACTTCTAACATGCACTGAATGCTGGTCAGCCTGCAAGTAGTGAGTGCTGGCAAGGGGTGTGTGTTTGTGTGTGTGTGTGTGTGTGTGTGTGTGTGTGTGTGTGTGTGTGTACGTGTGCGTGTGTGCACACATGCCTAGGATTTGGGCAAAAGTAGGGAAGGGAACTGGTGGGAGAATGTTCTGGGTCATAGCTGGAAGGGCCCCCACAGAGCATCCAGCCCACGGTTCCCCGAAGTGGGAGAGGATGTCAGACCCAGCACTGCATCACTCAGAGCCAAGGCAGAGCTCACTCCTCCTACATTTCCTCAGAGCTCTCTTAAGGAATCTGCTTGGTGTAATACCACTTACTAATTATCCTCTTAAACAACAAGCTGGCTTTAGGCTCTGAGCCTTTGCAGGCCATGACATCGAGTTTGAGTTCAATAACATTGCTTTCATTATGTTATTATTTTATTTTGTTAGCTTCTCTTTATGGTAAATGATACTGATTTTCTAATCACGTTAATAATATAAAGCTACCTTTTGAAACAAATTTCAATAAAAAAACTGGTTTGATTGAAAGAAACTATCAAACAAATAATATGTTCAGAGGTATGTGGACATAAGGCAAAAATCATAGTGGTGGTACCCTAAAGACCAGTATGTGGGACCTGGGCCAACCCCCATTGCTCAGATGCCCAGAGATGGGGAGGGCCTTGTTTAGGGTCAGACACCGAGTCCATGGCAGAGTCAGGACCCATTCTTGGGACTGGAGGATTCCTGGTCCAGCTCCTATAACCCCCCTGGAGCTTACCTGGCCCCAGACAAGCTCTCCCAGTCCGATGAATATGCACCACATCCACTGGTCCAGCTGCAGGGGAGAGCAGCTGAACGGCTTCCCCCCAAACTGCACAATCACTATCTGGAGGTCAAAGGGGCGCACAGGGACAGAGAGAGATGGGGAGAGACACAGAGAGTGAGTCAGGGGCCAACTCAGGGGTCTGGGCTCGCAGGGCACAGCCAAGGGGCTCTGGCTGCTCACTGCCCACCCCGGCCCAGGTTGGGTGGGGGCCTGGCTACCTGGATGGCAAAAGTGCCCAGCACAATGGTGCAGAAAATAGGGTTCCGGAAGATTCCATCAAAGACATTCCGCTCGCCGTGGATCTTGCGGGCGTTGATCTCATTGAAGAGCTGCATCATGACGAAGGTGTTGAAGATGATGGTGTAGTGCTCTGAGGGTGGTGAGTGCAGGGGTGCATTTCTCCCGCTGTCGATCTGGAACATCTTCTCACCTGCCAAGCCGAGAGGGCGGGAGCGGGGCTGAGGGCCTCGCTGGGGGAGACGCTGGGCCCTGAGTGGGGGCCTCCTCTGCACAGCCTGGTAGGTCAGGCGGAGACAGAGGCGGCGCTCTGGATACCGGGGTGGGGGGCTGCACTGTTGGGTGGTCCCGAGTGTGCGTGGAGGGATGACAAAGCCCTTTCTTCTCTACGGAGAGAGATGTTGGGTGAACTTTATTCTGCTTTTCTGTGGAAACCTGTTAAAGGTGGAATGACTTAACCTGTCCTGTCAGGTGATGCTATTTTTGACAGTGACCTCCAGCTGGCAAACTCATCTGGACTGGGAAGACTGGGAGAATGGGTTGTGAACCAGAATCCCTGGTGGGAGGCCATGGCCTTGGGCTCCCCTGTAAGTGATGGTTCTTGTAACTGACTGTGGCCCTTGCTGCGACCCCTGGAAGCTTCTGGAGCTCTTCTAGGATATATCGATTGCTATGTGGAGGCTGGGGCTTCTAGGCCAGGCTAGCTCCAGTCCCATGGCCTCATGAGTTATCACAGGATGGGTGGAGAATAGCCCCCGGGTTGCTGTGTGGACACGCACTGATGACAGGCCCGAGGCTATCCTATGTCTCTTGGCAAAGCTGTCTCAGCAGGTGCCAGGAGGCCTTCTGGGGTTTTCTGAGTGTGAGGTGTCTAGCTGAATTCAAGGCCGCTGAGAGTAGGTGCTCAAGGGGGAAGCCAGCAAATAAACCAGGAACTTGTCCCCCTCTCCTCCCCTACCCGGCAGCCTTCTCTCCTAGTTTTGCATTCACACGGCTTCTTTGAAGACTCTAAAGATAACCTTGACAATAGTCCTGCCAATGTATCACCTTCCAAGTTTATGTAAGAGGACTTCCCTTTAAGCCATAGGATCCATGCCCAACCCACATCTGTACCCTAGACCTTGAGGACAAGTGCCTGTCGGCATTGAAAGCCCAGCTTTTCACGTGGAGGGGCCCTGCCCAGGCTGGGGACTCCTGGCTGGCCCCAACTCCCTGTGTGACTGTGAGCCAGCCCCTTCCCACGCTGGGCCTCTCTGTGACCCAGGGGTAGGCTTTGCCTGCGTCCTCTCTGAAACACCCGAGGGATCCAGGCCCAGTCTTTAGCCAGGCTCCTCAGTCCGGCGGCAGGTCCCCTCACCACTGTGTGCCTCCGGGCACTCCCTGTAACGCATGATGAGGACAGGCGCCTGCCTGGCTGAGTGCGGGGAAGACCTAAACGAAGCAAGCAGCCTAAAGGAAAATGCTATGGAAATCATGGGCGGCTCTGCAGGTGTTTGTTCCCTCCCCGAGGAGGGGTCAGTGAGGGTGCCCGCACGGGGCCCAGAGAGGTGCAGGAATGGGTCAGGGAAGGGGCCAGAGCCTCAGGCCCCTCCAGGGCAGTTGTGAGGGGCAGGGAGCAGCACCTGGGTGCCATCTTGCCTAGTGTGTACTCCATGCCTGGAGCTGTCATCGGTGGAAGAGCCCTGGCTTTGGGGTTGGCCAGATCTGAGACAGGGCCCGGCTCTGCGCAAGACTTGCTATGTGAGCTTGAGCAACTCACTGCATGGCACCGGGCCCCTATAACTTCACTGGCAGAGAAGAGGGAGGGTGTGACTCCAGAACGCCGGGTCCAGGCTGGGGCGTCCCAGGTGGGCTGGTGGAGGACTCACCAACAAAGAGCAGGGTGAAGATGAGGGTGAGCTGGTAGACGGCGTGGCCCAGGATGTTCTTCATCATGGTCCGTGAGATGAGGGGCTTGTTGCGGCCATATGGCTTCCGCAGAAGCAGCGTCTCGGTGGGTGGCTCCGTGGCCAGTGCCAGCGAGGCGAACGTGTCCATGATGAGGTTTACCCAGAGCATCTGCACGGCCTTCAGAGGGGAGTCCTGGGGACAGTAGTGGTGGGGGAGGCTGTCACGGGGGAGGCCGGCCGCACCTGCTGCTACCAAGGGCCGGGTGTGGGCCTCAGTAGCTTCTTGCTGGTGTCTTGAGCTGGCTCTGCCCAGTGGGTCTGCCTTCAGCTGGCCTGTCCGCTGGGCTCCTGAACAGGCACCCCGCAGGTTTGCTGGGCCTTCCCTTCCCTGAAGAACAGCCTAGACCTGCCCACCATTCTCCGCCAAGGAGAAAATTGAGTCTTCCAGGCCTGATGGTCAGCAGCTCCTTGCCTTCTAGTAAATTCACCCACTTCCCCACCATGTGCTGTCCATCCCTTCAGCCCCCATGGACACATCTCTCCTGGCAAAGGCCAAGCTCTCTCCCGTCTTCAGCACACATCCTGTCTTCTCAGCCTCCCGCTGCTGCTTTCCCCTCCACGGATGTGGCTCTGGTCTCTGCTGTCCCACCAACAGTGCCTATGACACCTGTCCCCTTGTTACTAACACCCAGTTCCTTCTTACCTCATCATCCTACTTTACCTTAAGCAATTATTGTGTGTATCTATGATTCCAGAAATAACATACATCCATGGTAGAAAATTCAGGTTAGTAGGGAATAACAGAGGAAGCTGACTCGTCAGTGATCTTGTGACTTATAGGCGACCACCATTCACATTCTGGTGTGGATCCTTCCATGTCTCTCTCTGGCTGAGACTGGGATCATATGGTCATACCGCTCAGTGCACAGTCATATCATGTGGGGCACACTGCCTCGAGGAGCTGATCAACTGTCCCCTTGTACCCCCAAGTATCTTGTCCTTGGCAGCCAGACTTTGGCCTGTCCATGTCCCCCAAATCCCCTTCTCCAAGGTCACCAGCACCTTTCCTGTCACCAGTCGAGAGATACATTTTCCAGCCTCCTCTCACTGACCTCCCTGCCTCACTTGGCCACAGTTTCCTCCTGGCCCCTGACCCCACTCTCTTGGCCCTCCTCCTCCTCCTTGAACATTCCATTTCCCTCTCCCTCAGGGCTCCTCTTCCCCAGTCTTTTAACTCTGTGCCCCCCACGGCCCCTTCCTTAGCCCTGCTTTCCTCTCCACACCTGTCCCCCTGGCTTGCATTGCCCCCCTCTCCCTAGTGTCACCCTCTCTCCAGCCCAGGCCTCCCCCTCTGGTGTTAGCTTCATCCATGGTGGAACACCTTCAGGAAGCCCACTGACCCTGTAAGCCTAGTAGCCTAAACTAAGCAGTTCTTCACCCCTCTATCATTTCTTAGTGCAGCCCCCAAGGCCCACTCTGCCTGCTCCCCATACACTCACTCGCCTCCTGGATTCATCAGAGCCCCTTCCTCCAGGCCGCCTCTCCCACCTGTGTCCCAGAGCAGCCACCTTCCCCGTGTCCTGCACCTTTTTCCTGCTCATCAGCCTTCTCTGTTGACATGTGCCTTGGGGTCAGGGCCCCCCATCTCCCCATCAAGTCCTGCATGGCCCTGCCACCAACTCAATCTAAAGCCTTAGGCAAACTGGTAGTCTTCTTTGAACCTGTTTCCCCATCTGGCATCAGTGGGGTCCCCCAAGGAGCCTTGCAGGAGCGGCTGTGCTGTGGGAGTGTTCCCTGAGCCACCACTAGAGGGAGTCTCTCATCCACAGACCAGGAGTGGGTCCTTTCAGCAGAGGAACCCACCAGCCACCTCACAGCTCTGACTCTCAGAATATGGTACTGGGTGCTGCCGCATGCAGCCCCAGTGGCTCAGAATGCAGCAGGGGGGAGCAGCACTCCTAAGGCCACAAAGCTCTCTGGAGAAGTGCTGCCTTCTGGACTTTAGGGCTCCTCTCTGCATAGGAGCTTGTCTACCCATGTGATTGCCAGGAGGCCTTAGAATACTGGCCCTTTCCTCCCCAGGCCAGGCTGTCAGCCCCGAGGGGAAAGCAGGAGGCTGCAGGAACAATGGCAGGTCCCTGGTTGGTCCAGTCTCTGAGCCTCAGTTTCTGCTTCTGTAAAATGGGGATTACCATACTTTCTGCCTCATGGGGCTGGGCAAGGAAACAGTGAGGCTGAAGACATTCAGGCCTGCTGGCTGGCTTCCCCTGAGCTTGGGATGGGGCCCCAGATGGTGATCTTGACAGACAACTACCTCTCCCAGTGACAAAGAGCCCCAACCTGGCCTCAGAGCTCCAGGGAAACAGGCATCTTCTGCCACACTCCTGACGGAACTAAGCCCCCCAAGGGCCCTGCCGGTCCCTTGCCCCCAGCTGGTAGCCTGATCCCCTCATGGGCCCTGCCTGGCCCCTGCCTCCCTTTGGGGGCTCTGCCTTTCTTTGAGGACGACCTCTTCTGCCTCCTGGAGAGAGGACCAGGTCTGTGACTGGGTCAGGCAGCCATGTGGGTGAGGATTGATGTCTCCTATTTGCCAGATGACCCTGGGCCAGCCCCTCACCTAGCTGAGCTTCATTTCCTTGGGCTGGTGCTTGCGCCTGAGGTCTGTGATGCAACTCCTGGTCCTTGGTAGGGGCTCCCCCAGGCTTTGGCATGCCCCATCCTGCCCGCCTACCCCTGCGCCTGCGCCCCCCCCCCCGGAGGACCCACCTGCGTGATGCAGGCACCCGTGAAGGCCACGATCACAGCCACCACGTTGACCGTCAGCTGGAACTGCAGGAATTTGGAGATGCTGTCGTAGACGTTGCGGCCCCACATCACTGCCTTGACGATGCTGCTGAAGTTGTCATCTGTTAGGATGATGTCTGAGGCCTCCTTGGCCACGTCCGTGCCTGCGATGCCCTATGGGGACAGGAGCCTGTGTGCGGCGGCTGGGTGGTGGTACACAGCTCAAGCAATGCTGTTCTCATGCCCTGCACACCCTCAGTCCTATACGCACATGCATACTCCCAGCTGCCCAGCTCCCAGCCAGACCACACGGGGTGTGTGTGCATGTTCTCCTCCTAGCCCCAGCGCCCTGAGGCCAACTCTGCCCTCAGGAAGCCTTTCCCTAGCCCGTCCTCTCCCACAGCCATCATGGCAGGGAGCCCTCTTCCACCCTTCCAGGAAGACCCTGGGGGCCAGGCTGAGCCTTGAGAGTACTGGGCATGTGAGGTAGATGGTGGGTGAGCTGAGTGTGAACCGGGGGTCCCGCACAGCCAGTGTGAGGCTGTGTTGCCCACACCCCCTGCCTGGGAGCTCCTGCCAGTCCCCACCCTGGGGCCCGCTGCCAGCTGCCCCTACCATGGCGAAGCCCACATCAGCCTTCTTGAGTGCAGGCCCGTCGTTGGTGCCGTCCCCGGTCACGGCCACCACCTGCCGCTGCTCGGTGTGCGTGCTATCGATGATGCCTGTGGGGCAGGGCAGGAGTGTGTCAGGGCCCTGGGACCCTCTGTGGGCCAGAGGCAGCCTGGGGCTGGCCCTGATTGTTGGGAAGACCCCAGGCCAGGCCCAGCCTCCTCTCTGGCCCCTGCCCTACCTCCCCCCTCTTGTGGCTCTTCCCAGCTCCAGGCTTGCCCACAGCTGCCGGCACCTGCTGGGGATGTTGGGCACCTGAGCCCCGTGCTGGCTGGTGGTCCTCTGTGGTCTGGGCCCTGATGGTCTCTCCAGCACCCTCTTCACTCTCTGCAGCCCTTGGCCACACGGGTGGCCACCCCAGCTGGAAACGCCTCTCTCTCTGCCTGGGTTCCAGGAGCTCCTCCCTTCTCCCACCATCTGCTCCTTCAGCACCTTCTACCTGGGGGTTCAGTCGCTCTTGAGGAGGCCTGGGCTGTCCCATTTGCCAATGGCCCCCGATCCATCATCTGGCTTTGACCTCTCTCCAGACATTCACCCTCAATAAAATATTCAGGAGAGCCTGGGTGGCTCAGTCGATTAAGCATCTGCCTTCAGCTCAGGTCATGACCCTGGGGTCCTGGGACAGAAGTCCCGCAGAGGGCTCCCTGCTCAGGGGGGAGCCTGCTTCTCCCTCTCCCTCTCTGCTCCTCTCCATCCCCACCCCATTCTCTGTCATTCTCTCTCTCAAATAAATAAAATCTTTAAAAAAAGAAAAAATAAAAAGAAAATATTCAACAAATAGAATAAACAGATGGCACGTGGCCCGGTCACTGAGCTGGGGCCAGTGGAAAAGAGTAGGTGAAGGGTGTCATCATTGGGCACATGTGGAGTTTGAGAAGATATATTAATGCACAGAACAGAGATTTGAATGTCACTCTTGGCATGAGCATCTCTTACCCCACACCTCACATCTGTCACTGATATCTGCAGATTCCGCTCCAAGATCCCACAGGAACAATTTCATTTTTCTCTGTCCCGACCCCCTGTGCCAACAGCATACCCCTGCTCCCCACCAACCCCAGGCTGCCCGTCCATTCTGCACAGCAGTGCTGGGATTTCTCTCGACCCCCACCCCCAGGACTGACCTGTCCCTTCCCCCCCAGCTGAGAGGCATTCTATCACTACCCACAGTGGCCTCAGGGTGACATCCATGTTCTTAGCTCTAATCAGAAAGTTCGAAATCCCTGGTGGTCAGGCTTCACCCATTCTCTGATTTTCTCTTGTCTCTGGCCGCTCTCAATCTGTGCTCCAGTCACAGGAATGACTATCTGCAAAGCCGGCTCCCTCACCCGTCTGCCCGGGCTCCTCCCTCGGCTAGCTGTGCCTGTCCCACAACTGTAGTCTCAGCTTAGATGTCACTTCTCCTGGGGAAGTCCCTGTGACTCCCTGAGGACCCTCACCTGCCCTAATCAGATCACTGTAGCTCCGGTATGTGTCTCTCCCTATTCTGTGTTGCAAGTAGCATCTGTGGGATGAGGGAAAAGGTCCCCAAATTGAGAAGCCTTTGTAGCCGCCAACCATTCCCCTAGCCCTTTGTATGTGTCCAAGTTCCACCCTCTTCAGGCCTAGCTCCAAGGCCATGTGCTCTGGGAGTCATCCTGGGCTGCTCCCCCTGGCTGGCAGCAGTCCGAGTTCCTGTACAACACTCAGCCTCCAGTCTCTGTCTACTGGGCATTCGATGCCTTTATTCCCCCTGGTTCCCTCCGCTTTCCTACGTGCTCCTCCAGAGCAGGGAAGGCGCTGAGTTTTCCTCCTGCCTGGCCAAGTGAGCTTCTTTCTACTTCTTGAAGGTGTTTGGAAATCTTTGCCTCTGGTCTTTCACAGTGCAGTTCTCTGCCCCGCCTGAAACACAGGCCCTTTCTCCTGGACCCTCAACCCACTTTCGATGGCCTATGATGTGACATCCATCCCTAGCCTGAATAAGAGGCCAACAGAAGGCCCCACCCTTCTCTTCCACCAATACAACCTCTAGGTCTGTGCAAGGAAATCTATTTAATGTCTGCTGGGTGGAATCTGGACCATGAATTCCAAGAGGGAAGGACCATGTTTGCCAAGAGCAGGGCCTGGCACTTAGTAGGTACTTCAAAAACGCATATCAAGAGAATGAGTAATTGAATGAATGAGTCATTGAAGAAGAAATGGAGGTGGGTTGGGGGTGCCTCCTGCTCTGGTATCTGTGATTCTGGGGTGCTGTGTTTCTGTCCCCAAGACAGATCTGCCTCCACTAATGTCCTGGGCAGCATTTTGGGAGAGGAATCAAGATGCCCCAGGGATGACCTCAGCCAGAAACCTGCCCTTCGGTGGCCATCTTAAAGATGGAGAAATTGAGTCCCAGAAGAGGAGAGACTTGCCGAAGGCTATACAACAGGTTAGCAGCCACGCCAGGACTTGAAGCCAGGGCTGTATGACTCTAAAAATGCCCAGCACCTGGCCACCTACATGGGCTCAACAGGTGGTACGCCTTCTCTCTGGAGGAAGACAAGGAAGGAGAAGGATGCTAGCTTTTGGCCTCATATCTCAGGCTGCTATTCCCAGGATAGCCCACCCTGCGGGTCCCCATTACAGATGCTGGTTGGGGTCCTCAGACACCAGGCAGACCAAGGGTCTCAAACTCACAAGCTCTGGGGGCAGACCGAGAACATAAAGAAGTGAAGTCACCTGGATGGCAGACATTGAGGAGCAGGGAAGACTGATTCAAATGTGAGGGGAGAGTCTGTTCAAAGTCATCCAAATTCAACACAAAAAAGGTACTATACCAGCCAACCACAACATGTCTGTGGGCCCTATCCGACCCTTAGGCTAAGAGTTTTGGACATAGACAGACCCAGTCCCATTGCTTCCTAGAAGCGGAAACTAGAGAGAAGACTCACAACCTCTCCAGATCACTAGGGCTCTTAGAGGGCCTCCCAGGACGGCAGTGAGGTGAGACAAGGGTGTTGCCAGGTGTGGGGAGCCCCATGCAAAAGCCCTCTGTCCTGGAAAGAAGCTGCAGGCACCAGGATAGGAGGGGATCCTGGCTTCACTGCCCCGCAAGTCTTACCTTTGACGAGGGTATGCTTATCTGTTGGGGAGGAGCGAGCCAGCACCCGGAGCTTTGGCCAGATCTTGTCAATTCGCTCCTGTTCAATCTGGAGAGGGATGCAGAGAGGGTCAGAGAGAGAAATGAGGTCTGGAGAAGGGAGGGGGCGCACCCAAAGTCACAGGGCTCTGAGTGGCACATTGGCTGACCTCCGTACAGTCATGCAGCCCCCATGCCTCCCAGGCAGCACTCTCCACCCCCCAGTTCATCCCTCTGACAGATGTGCTGGGCAAGTACCTCCCCCTTCTCGTTGCGGATTCTCCGGTTGAACTCCTTGCCCTCCAGGCACAGAAAGTCCTCCCCAGGATGGATGATGCCACACTTGATGGCGATGGCCCGGGCCGTGTTGATATTGTCACCGGTGACCATGCGGACGGTGATGCCTGCCCGCTGGCACTTGCGGATGGCTTCTGGGACCTAGCCGTGGTGGGGCAGGAGCAGTGGAGGTGAGCACCCCTGGGGCAGGCCCTCACTGCCCTTATGGATTCCAGAGTGAGCCCTGTTCATGGGCAGCTCTAGTGGAAGGGGCCTTGATGACTGTGAGATGCTGACAGCACATATGGCATGTAGACCCTCTTCTTCCATCCTGTGTCCATGGCAGGCATTGTTAATCAATCCCAGAATCTGCTGATTAAACCCTGATGTGGTCTCAGAATTCTCAACAGAGTCCCAGACAGCTACCACCTAACACTATGATGGTCTCTTCTGAGATGAAACCACGGGCTATCCTGACTTAGGGGCAAGGACTTTGAGAAAGTCCTCAGTAACACCCCAGGTGGGGTTAGAACACTGTTATACAGAGGAATGTGTCCCTACTTTATTCACATGCACAGTTCCTGTGAACTCAGTGAGAAATATGTTCACACATTTTCAGGGTTTTTTTTTGTTGTTGTTTTTTGTTTTTTTGGCTGGGGGCGTGGGGGCACTGCATTTGGGAGAATTTCATTTACAAAATGTGACACTGGCTTTGAATAAATACAAATGATTATACGTAATGTAAAATAGGACCTTGACATAAGAGAGTAAGGACTGCCTCCTGTCTTCTCTGCCTGTAATGAATGATAGACTGATGCCTGGGCCAATCAGGCCAGAGCAGATGCAGCCAGTCAGGAGAGGGTAAGCCCCGCACGGCACCCCCCATCCCCCTGCTCCTATGCAGAGTTGTGGATTTATTTGCCCAGTGATTAAGATGCAGAAACCAGCCTGGAGCTGCTGCAGGTCTTCACACACAACACAGACCAACTGAACAAGGGATTCTGACCCATGGGCAGTGACCAATGATAAAATAATAAGGTAATATTTGCTATTTGCTGCAAAATGTCTTTGGGTGGAAGAAGACATATGAAGGGCAGAAAATCCAGTTGTACAAGAAGACCAAAGCACTTTAGAATCTCAGGCTTGGAAAGGTGGAGTCTGACTACCACTCCTCTTGCATTTCACAGTGCCTGGGAGCTCATTCCCATTCCTACTCTGCCAAGCCACTGCTGAGAGGGTCTGAAGACTGTTATAGGCTGAACTATGGCCATGCCCTACCCCCCTGCACCCCCCAAATATATTTAATTCTTAACCCCCCACTGCCTGTGAATGTGACCTTACTGGGAGATAGGGTGTTTATAAAGGTAATCAAGATGAGGTTGGTAGAGTAACCCTAGACCAATGTGACTGGGGTTTTTATGAAGAGGGGATATTTGGACCCAGACACAGGGAGAATTTGGACACAGATACAGGGAGAATGCTACATGAGGATGAAGGCAGAGATTGGGTGTTGCTGCCACAAGTCAAGAAATGCTGAAGATTCCCAGCAAACCCCTGTAAGCTTGGGGGGGGCACTGGGGGTGGAGAAAAGGTCTGAAGCAGATGCTTCCTCACAACCCTCAGAAGAAACCAACCCTGCCAACACCCTGATCTTGGACTTCCAGCCTCCAGAACTGTGAGGCAGTCCAGTTCTGTTGTTGGAGGCCCCTAATCTGTGCTACTTCATCATGGCAGCCCAGCAAACTCAAATAAAGAATTAGAACATTGGTTCATAACCTGATTGTGGACAACACCTGCCCACTGGTCCCCTTCCTGCCCTTGGGAATTTTAAAAACAAGGACTGATCTTGAAAATCTCTAGCCTCTTCCCGCCCCCTCCCATACCCTGCTGTTCTGTGAGCACAGAGAACCACCATTCCAACACGGGGTCACTGCCCAGCCCCTCCTCAGTCTCCCTGCCTCTGGCCTTGCCCCTCTTCCATCATTCCCCTACCTGACCACCAGTGGGCGACCTGCCTAAAGTTCAGCCTGGGTGTCACTCTCCTTCAGGGGCTCCCCCCTGCTGCTTGTAGAGAAAATCAAGACTCCTGAGCATGGCCATCTCGTGGCAGAGCAAGGAACAAATGCCATGAAGAGGCCGGCTCTAGGCTAAGTAAGGCCAGGAGACCCCTCTGGCTCCCAGAACTGTATCAGAGACCAGCTGTGGTGACAGGTAGTGATTTCTGTGTTACGAGGGCTGGAGCAGGATAAGCTGACCACAGGTCTCCTCTAGGTGCATTTCTGGGGCCCAAAGAGGCTTCTGGTGCCCACTTGGGGCTTGGGGACCACGTGAACAAGGCCTCTGCTTCATGCCACAGCAGCGGCTCACACAGGCAAATGTGACCTCTTTTTATAGACCCAGAGGGAGTGGGGATGTGGAATGTCCAACATCCTGCTTACGTAATTTATTGATGTCCTCACAGTGTCTGTAACCCAGACTGCAGCCCCCTGCTGTCTCCTTTTCCAGAGGAAAGGAAAGAGTCACTGTTCTTTTGGGGACACACACCTTATCTGGCTCCTGCCTTCAAAGGAATAATTCAGGTTATGTTTGATTCAAAGATACTTGGGCTCTTAGAGTTGGAAGGGACTTCAGGTCATGACTCTGACTCTTTTCATTGCCCAGATCTCTGGTTAGGCATCCCACAAATGGCCAGCCAGCCTTTGCTTGCAGGCTTCGGATCCTGGGGTACTCACTCCTTCCAAGGCTGACCACTCCATAGGGGAACAAGTCTATCATATCATTTCACATAATCATTCTTCTTTCAGATGAGAGCAGGTGCTCTGGGTCTGGCCTATACTCTCATAGGAGGCAGGGTCTTTGGTAAAGATCTCTGTACGAAGGGCTCTGGGAGCACAGAGGAGGGTGCCATTTCTTCAGAAGGAAGTAGAGGGAGAGGAGAAATCTGGGAAAGCTTCCTGGAGAGGGGGATGTTTGAGTTTCTTCTGTTCAGTCAGCACTAACTGAGGCTCTGGTGCCTGGCACTCTGCCCAGGCTGGGGCTACACAGATGACTGCTTCATTGTGGCCTGGGCCACAGAGAAGTGCCCCATGAGAGGCACTGGCAGAGAAGTTGGGAAGGGTGCTGTAGAAAGGACATGGCAGGTGATCTGGAGGGGGTGAGGTTGAGGAGGATGTGGGGCAGGAGCCAGGAAGCATGAAGCTGGAGAAGGACCTGCAGTCAGAAGGTGCTGGAATCAGGGGCTCAGTACTAGGCCTGGGAGCCATGATAAGTTCTGAGCTGGGAATGAGGTGACTGGAACCCTGTTCTATAAAGACTAATGCTTTCAAGGCTGTCTCAGGGAGCTGAAATCTGCCTGCTTGGAATCCCCACCCTCTAGGGCTCCCCAAAACAAGCTGGCTCAGGGAGAAAAAAGAGGCAGCTAATTTTTCTGGCTCCTACCCTTTCCTCTGTGTGGTGGAGGTTTCTCTGCCCCTGGGAGAGAGGGTTTAGGGACCAAAAGCCTGGGTTGGGCTTTACCCTGGGGATCCACCTGAGTGTTGGCTTGTAAAGTGGGGATGAGGCTAGGTGATGCTGTGGCAAGGGCAAATGGTACCAAGCCTGGGGACAGTAGATGCTGGTGGTGGGGGTAGGATGGCTGGCAATGCACTTGACCATGGTCTTTCTTCCTTGTTCTTTCTGCTCCAGGAGATGGGGAGGGATGTCGAGGGTGTGGATACAGATGTAGTGGGGGGGTGGGGCACACCTGGCATCTGGGGACAGGGAGGGGCAGCCATTTGTTTGGGGTGGAGGAATGGTGTGGCCATGCCACCACGATTCCTGGGTCAGGTACCTTAGAGGCCTGTGACCTGCCTGTAGGGGGGATTCCAGATGGACCTGGACACCCCTGAGGGCTGCCTCAGCCACCTCCCTTACTGGGCAGTGGACCCTGTAGCCAGACGTCTTTGTTGTACTTCAGTCTGGCTTTACACTCTCACATGCTATGGGTCTACTTACTCGTCCCCTTTTACTGGGCATTTCACTAGGCTGTGGGCTCTGGAAGGCAGGGACTGCCGACTGCTCAGGTCACATCCAGAGGCCTGGCACAGGGCACACGGGTCATCATGAAACATCTCTCTGCTGAAATCCCTCAAAGCCTGGTCTGGTGAATGGATTTGGGTGGGGACATGCCTACTCTTCCCAATTTAGCTCCAGGCTCCCCTCCTTCCCATTTCTCTCGTAAGTCCACGGTATTCACTAGACTTTCACCTGTCTGCGTTTGCCCAAGCTGTACCCTCCGCCTAGAATGCCCTCTCTCCCTTAATTTGGGAGTCTCTCCCCCTTTCAGATGAAATGCCCCTACTCATAAAACCATTCTGGATTCCTCCAGCCCAATGGGGTGCTTCCTTAAACTACACTCAGCCTCTTCTTGTACTGCTCACTAGGTCATTCATTTGACAAACAGCTACTGAACATCTCACTGGTCTGGACACTGAGGAGCCAGGGATGATTAAGACCCAAGCCACCGAGGCACCGATCTGGCGGAAATATACTTTCCACATAGACAAAATTGCTGTAAAATGAAAAAAAAATTCCTTCTTTCACTAAAATTATCCAAGATTTTTCTCACGGAGGAAAACCAGCCAGAAAATGGGCGCTTCCTGTTTTCATTAAATAAAGGCTTTTAAACATCTGTTGTTTCTGGTGACACCCGTTGTCTGTGACTCCAAGGGCTCCAAACACCCCCGGATAACCCGGTGAATCCCAGGCTGCTGCTCTTCTCATGGCTTCATCCGCGGTGTCTTCAAGCGGCATCGGAAAACGTACCCACTAAGAAACGTGTTTGTGTCTGGGGGGTGATCGACAAGCCTGTTTTGATCTGTTCTGTCTTCTGTTTTCTCAAGGGAGGAAGGCAACGTCATTTATTCCCTCAACAGATAGGGAAACTGAGGGGGTAGTGTGTGTTCCAGCAGTTGCTGCAAATGTTTGCAGGAGCCCGCAAGTGGCCCAGGCTGACCTTTGTGCTCTGGCCAGCCTCAGGATTGCCTGGGAGAGCCTGCCCTGAACCGCAGGCACAGACACTGCCCTAAGGTCATCCCAGAAGCTAGTGACGGTAGCTGCCTGTGAGGCGGGAGTCAGGGGCCCTGGGGAGGGGAGCATGGGAGGCTACTTCACCTTGTCTGTTGAACCGTTGGAATTTGGCTCCATGTGTATAAATCCATCAGCTTAAAACCCAAATAAATCAAAAGCCATCCCCACCCCACTAGGAAATGGTGAATCGACAGGTCAGAGCTTTTATACTTTCAAGTAGCGTCACCAGCAACCGTGCTGGTGTCTCTCACTTGGGAATGTCCAACTCTTTCATTGTTCGGATGGGGAAACTGAGACCCAGGGAGGAGATTCGCCTGAAGCCTTCTGTGAGGGAGTGGCTGGGGCGGGATTAGAACCCATGTGTCTTGACCCTGCTGTGTCAGCCTAGTAAGTTCCTGCTCCCCAACACAGCTTATGACATCAAAATCTACATCCTGGGAGAGAGCCAGGGCAGAGAGGAGGTTACCAACAAGGATGCTCTTACTTGACGGAAGCAAAGAAAGGGGTCAGGGTGAGATTTACCTGTCAGCCAGCTCAGAATGTTGGAGCTTGGCAGGGATCTGAAGAGCATCTGGGTCAACCTCCCATTTTACAGATGAGAAGACCAAGGCACAGAGAGGAGGAAGTGGCTTGTGAGTGGCACAGCTGGGGCTTGTATCCAGGCCCCCTTTCTCCCAGGCAGGGCTCTCCAGGATGAAAGTGCTCCCAGCCCTGCTGGGAGTCTGTGCCAGAAGCCTGCTTCTCTGGATGATCATGCTATTAGTGGAATATTCCAGGACCCAGCTCAGCCCTTCTCAGGCCCTGTCCTCCCTCTCCTCACCCTCCTGACTTAGAACCCCTTACCCTTTCATTTCTGTGGTACCTAGGAGCAAGGCCTGGGGCAGGAAGGCAGAAAACCTGTTCTAATCTGGATTAGCTCAGCCACTTACAGCGAGACTTTCGGAAACTCATTGTCCCTGCTTATCCTCAGTGTTTTCACCTGCACCCTGGGGCCGGGGGAGGCATTTGGTCTAGGTCAGCAGCAGCTCAACCCCTTTAGTGCATTGTCAAATCAGTTTAGGAGGTGGTGACTAGCATTAAAAAAAAAGAGAAATAGAAGAGAATAGAAAATACAAGGGCATCACGTTACTTTGTGACATCCTTATTTTGGTTAAGTGTATGTGCTTACTGAGTCATGATATAAAATATGTTTCTTATTAGCACAGGTCATGACCAAAAAAAGATATGTGTCTGATGCTGCTTTCCACCCCACTTTGGGGATGGTTCTGAGGCGCAATGATGGGCAAGGACCTCTGGGGACGAGAAGGACAGGGGAGCCGCAGGCTGGCCCCGTCTGCTATGTGGAGACTAGTCCTTGGTGCCGGTAAGGGGATAGCCTGTCATGGGAAGCCTGAACCCACTGGTGGCAGGTCATGAGTGGGCATCCCGTGGGGAGGTTGCTAAATGGCCCGTCTGTCCAGGGAAAGACACAGTCTGCAGGAAAACACATATGGTTCCAGGGCCAAGCACCTGGGCAACAAATCGCCTTTGATGCTTTAGGCTCTGGGTGGGAGTGAAGAGGTCTGTGGAGGTCTATGGAGGGTGTGAGCATGTGAGATGAGTACCAGGCATAGTATTGGAAGACTGGTATTCAAGTCCTGTTCATTCTCATTCATTCACTCCTCACTTAATTGTGTGGAATGAATCAATCATAAGCCGGGCTCTGTGTTAGGGGCTGTTACCTGTCACTGGGTCCAGAGTTCTGAACTACTGGGGAGGGGCACAGAGGAAGGGAACCCCATTTAAGGGCCATGTACCTCATGCCAGACACTGACTGTTTGTGGTATGTGCACGATCTGACACCTCATAGTATCCTGGGAAGTGTATGTGTGGAGAATACTATTATTATCCCCAGTCTACAGATGAGGAAACAGAGGCTCAGAGAGGTTATGTAACAGGCCCAAGGTCACACAGCCAGTAATGCTGAGACTCAGGATCCCAGGTCTGTTTGAGGCCTGAGCTCACACTCTCGACGACACCTCTTGTTGCTACAAAAACGTGAAAGTCCACATCTGTGACATTCTAGTTTCATTTGGTCTTTAGAACACAGACTCTTACAGCATCAGGACTAGGAATTTGGAAAACACTTATCTACCCCTTTTCACTGGAAAGAAGTGGAAGTGGAGGCTCCATAAGGAGCAGGGAAAAACGAGAGGCCCCTAGAGAATGGTATCAGGACAAGTGGGGACAGTGAAGTTGCCTCCAGTGGAGGAAGGTGGCCCTGAGAGGCCCCATCACCGAATTCCACAGCCAAGACCAAGGTGGGCCCAGTCCCCGCCGGCCTGGGAATCAGCCCTGGACCCAGCAGCTCTGTTAGTCCTCCGATGATGTGGAGGCCAGCCTGCCCTGGGCTCTGCCCTCTGGGGCCCCCCAGGGTGAGGACTCACTCTGCCTGCCCACAGCAACGTTTTGGAGATTCGAGGCTGCCCTCTCTTCTTCCCACAGCCTTTCCAGCCTGGGCAGTCTGACAGCACTCATGTCTATCCTCCCCCAACCCTGTGAACCCCAGCACTGAATTCCGTCTTCCCGCCCGGGGCAGATGAAGCTAAAGGAGACTGAACACCTGTGTGATCTGAGCACTCCTTTAGGTGCACCTTCTATTTCACCTTCCTGGGTCCTTCTTGTGGGGGGGGGGTGGTTTGCTATCATCCCTCTTCTCTTCCGCCTGGGAGTCTGACCTTTGGGTAACTTCCTGGCCCTGTGCCCCTGGAGATCTGAGAATGGGAGATTGTGGGCTGTGTCACTGTGCAAGCCCGCTAGGCTACATTGATTGGGAAACTGGATCCTAATGGACAGAACTCTACCTGCATGTGTGACATCACACTGGGGGTTTTCCTGAACACCAGTGACTTAGTTTCTGGGTGTTTCCTTTATGGGGACCCTGGAACCTATGCCTATGGTTGTGCTATAGGAGATCCTGGCTTCTGTGGGGCAAGAGGCTGCTAAGGCAGGGCAGCCCTCATGCTTGTCCCTTGGGATCAAGGGGAGGTTTCTGGTTGGGTGGATGGCTCTAGGGCTGCTCCCGTGGCAAAGCAGCGCCTGCCTGCTGGCTGCCTGATGTCCTGAGCAGACCAATGCCAACGTGGCCTACGCTGGTCTCAGGAGTCTGAGAGTTTAGGAGTAGGTAAAGAGAAAGCCTTGTGGATGCTACCAGGAAACGGAGGCTCAGGGAGATGAGGCAACTTATACTAGCTTGCCAGCAGGCTGGACTCCCAGCCCCTCCAAGCCTGCTGGTAGGGGGCTTACCTCGGGCCGCACGGGGTCCTCGATGCCCACCACGCAGATGCAGGTTAGGTCATTGAGGATGTCATTCTCATTGTCCCAGTCGGGCTCAGGGCTGCTGGGGAAGTCGCGGTAGGCCACACAGATGGTGCGCAGCCCATCGCAGGCCATGGGCTCAATCACTTTCTTCACCATCTCGTCCCGGTCGCGGGGCCGGAAGACCCGGGGCTCCCCTGCCCCATTGAGAATTTTGCAGCATCTGGTGGCAGACGAGGGGAGAGCTGGGTAAGGTCCAGCCAAGGGCCCAAGGGTCCTCCGTCTGACCAGCTCTTGCTCCCCTCCCCGTCCCCAGTGATGCCCAGCTGGCTGTGGTTGGTCATCCAGCATCCATCCACTTCATCTCCCATAATGCTTCAGGGCTGGTCCAGGCCCCTGGGCCCCACACAGGGATGAAATCAGGACCAACCAAAAAGAAATCAGGCAGCCTCTTGCCATATCTGCCCCAGTCCATTCAGCAAGAGCACGTCTACTTTGATCTGTCTTATATTCATGAGATTTCATCTGAAAAAATAGTTCCACAGCTAAAATGGTTTTCAGAGGGCATGAAACCTAGGCTAGTGGTTCTGGACCTTGTTCACACATTAGAATGGCTTAGGGGGAATACCGAATAAATAAAGACCCATGTGTGAGCCCTACCCCAAAGGTTCCAATTTATTTTTATTATTTTGGGAGAAAGGGGCTGAGGGAGAGAGGGAATCTTTAACAGGTTCCACACCCAGTACAGAGCCCAATGCAGGGCTTGATCTCACGACCCTGAGATCATGACCTGAGTGGAATCAAGAATTGGACACTTAAGTGACTGAGCCACCCAGGCGCCCTGTATCAGTGGTTTTTTAAAAGCTCCCTGGGATGATTCCAATGTGTATCCAGGATTGAGAACCACTGGGCTAGACCAATCCCATCAAGGTTTGAGTGGGGAAACTGAGGTCCAGGGACCAGGAGTGACTTGCTTAGCTCCCCAGGCTTCTCTCTGGCACCTGGAGCCGGAGTTGACTGGTTAACAATGAACATCACTATCGTCAATCATCTCTGTGCTGAGGGAATGAGGGAGATTTAACAGGGACAGCAGGTGGAACTTCCTGGTGATCCTGTGATGTAGGCACGAGAAGGGGAGGGGTCTCTATAGAGTTTCAAGAGGAAATAGTGGAGGAAGCTCCTGGAGATGGTCCTGCTGCGGGACATTGGGAAGGGCACCTCTGGGTGCCAGATGGGCCTCCAGCCCAGCCGGAAGGACAGCCTGCACGGCACGACCTGGTGATCCCTGGCTCCCTGTCCTGTCCCCCCTGCCCAGCCCTGCCATGTGGAGCTTACTTCTTGAGCACGATCTCGGAAGCGCCCTTGCTGTACATGCGGAAGCTCTCGTCGGGCAGCTTGATGACCGTGCTCATGGACTTGCGCACGGAGTTGAAGGTGTACACCTTGTACAGCTTCTCCTCCGGCATCTGGATGCGCACGGGCTCGTAGTCCTGCTTCAGGTCCAGCACGAAGCCCAGCAGGCCACACTCTGTCTTGTTGCCCACCTGCCGAGGCAGGGCTCCTTCCTTCTCTGGGGGCTGCGGGGAGAGAGGCCAGGGAGGCTCACATGGGGTTGCTTCTCAGACCCCGGGGCCAGCCTGCCCACTTTCCTGCCACCCCCACCCTCAGCCCTCTCCATCCCAGACCCAGTCCTGGCTTTGGATGAAAGCAATTAAGCAAGATCAGCTTTTTAAAAATTATGAACTCTTTCAACACCTACAAGCTGGATAGAGAATGAGAAAAGAAACACTCGTGTACCCTCCATTCAGCTTTGTAGGACCTGAGCAGTACGCCCTATTTGCTGCAGATTTTTCTTTCTGGAGAAGGGAAACATGACAGATAAAAGTGAGTCCCCCTGTGTATCCCTCCTTGTCTGCAGAATCCACCCCTTGTCCCAGAAATAATCTCTGTCTTAAAAGGGGCATGAATTATTATCCTATGTGTTTGTTTTTTAATTTTTAAAGATTTATTATTTTTTTTACTTCAGAGAAAGCAAGAGAGCAGTGATGAGGGGCAGAGGGAGAGGGAGAGAATGAATCTTAAGCAGGTTCCACGCCCAGTGAGGAGCCTATTGTGGGCCTCGATCCCACCACCCTGAGAGCATGACCTGAGCTGAAATGAGAGCTGGACGCTCAACCGACTGAGCCACCCAGCACCCCCTCTTTACTTACATTGAACTTTTTCTACATTTTTATAATTAACCTTCTGGTGATTTTCAGAATTTTACGTCTTTTCCACAACAGTTTTTGTCCCCTCTCCACTAATGAAAGAAAATGACAACATGGAGGACTTAAATAAAAATGTCTAATTACTTATTAGCCCAAGAGAGCTGAGCAGTTATGCCTTCAAAATACCCGGCATTTTATTACCCTCTGTGAAATATTTTAATTTTCCTCTAAAAGGATTTCAAACAATCTATGGTTGCAAGGGGCAGAGCTGCTTCCTACATTAATTCAATTTGTTTCCATGAACTTGAGCTCCGAGATCGCCTACGTGTATACTATGAAGCAGGGGCCCACCCCTTTTCTCTTTTGATTTTTTTTTTTTTCCTAGATCTTGACAAACCCAGAAGTTTTGCTATTGCTGTAGACTTTCCGTGAGCCTTTTTATCTCTAGGGCTCTGATTCTGTAAGGGAGTTAAGGCGTTGGTATTGTTTCCATTTTCATGGCCAGGAAGCAGGCCTGGCAGGGAAGTGACTTGCTCATGGTCACAGACCTACAAAGGGGCAGATCTGGGGCTGTCCCCAGGCCCCTGGCTCCTAGCGCAGAGCTTCATTCAACACATTTCCCTGTTGTATGGAGCCCTTTGGGAATGCTGGATGCTGCCACTAGGCATAATTTTGAGAGGAAAATTCATGTTCGTGTTTGGGGTCCTGGGGGGTAAATAGAGCCAAGAGGAAGGAATGATGACTAGAAGAACTACAAGTTATAAATAACATCTGCAAAAATGAGATGAAAACAAAGTGCAGCTAGGGATGCCTGGTGGCTCAGTTGGTTAAGCCTCCAACTCTTGATCTCAGCTCAGATCTTGCTCTCAGGGTCATGAGTTCAAACCCCACATTGGGCTCAATGCTGGTGGGAAGCCTAGTAAAAAAAAAAGAAAAAGAAAAAGAAAAAGAAAAAAAAGAAGCATAACTAGCCTGTACCACCTCACATTCATTTGGATGGCTACTAGAAAAAGCCAAAGCAGAAAACAAGCGTTGGTGAGCGTGTGAAGAAATCGCACCTCTGTGTGCTGTTGGTGGGAAGGTGACAAGGTGCAGCTGCTGTGGAAAACAGGATGGTAGTTCCTCAAAAGATTAAACATGGAATTCCCATATAATCCAGCATTCCACTTCTGGAGATATATATATACACACCCACCCTGAAAGAATTGGCAGCAGGAACTTCAAAAGACATTTGTATACCCATGTTCATGACGCCATTACTCACAAAAGCCAAGAGGTGGGGGCAATGCATGTGTCCATAGATAAATAAATGGATAAATAAAGAGTGGTCCAGACATACAAGGGAGTATTAGCCAGCCTTAAAACGGAAGGAAATTCTAACACATGTGACCACATGGATAAACCCTGAGGACATTACAAGTGAAATAAGCCAGACACAGAAGGACAAACACTGTAGAATTCCACATGTACCATCTGCCTAGAAGAGTCAGACTCATAGAAACAGAAAGTAGGATGGTGGGGACCAGGGGCTGGTTGTTGGGGGGGGGATGGGGAGTTCGTTTTTGATGGGACAGAGTTTCAGTTTGGAATGATGAAAAGTTCTGGGATGGATGGTGGGGATGGTCGCACAACCGGAATGTACTTAATGCCACTTAAAAACAGTTTAGATGGTTCATTTGATGTTACAGGTGTTTTACTGCTTAGAAACCTCCAGAAAGTCCCTCCAAACAACCCAGCATAGTAAACTGTAGCACGTGCCATATGATGATGCTTCTAGGAGTGGATAGAAAACAACTTTCTGCCAAGTGGCCCTCTCTGGTGGCCTAGCCCGCTCCTCCTCACCCCTCAACAGGCACTGCCCCCACCCCCTGTGCCCGGATGAACCACCAACCAGCTTAACCACAGCAGCAGCGGCCACTGTTTGAATGTCGATCAGCCCTGTCCTTTATTGGGCTTGTCACATGCATGGTTGGGGTGTGCCCCCTCAGCGCCTGGGGAGGCCAGCGAGAGTGCTCCCACTTCACAGCTGTGTGCGGGGAGGCCCAGAGAGGTGAGCTCACACCGCTAGTCAGCGGCCCAGCTAGGATTTGACTCCCGTGTTCTCGGCTCTGAGCCCACAGCACATGCTCTCCCCAGAGTCCTTCCTGTCTCCACTAGCCCTGGAGATCTCTGGTTAACTAGTGAACTGGTTGATGATTGATTTAGAGTCTAAGGGGATGGGGGGAAATGTGTCTGTCTCCCACTATGGGGTAAACAGTGAATATTTGTGGAAACAATACACAAGTAATTCTGTGCTTGTCTGTGTGGGGGGCTGCCCGTGGAAGGCCAGATGGGGTGGAACTTTGGCTTTCAGAATTCTCTAAAGGCCTGTCTCCCCAGGAGCTTCTTAGTGCTAGGCCTCCCAAGGTACATGAGGCAGCAGAGCCCTGGGTTCTTTCCCAGAGGCTGGGAAGGCAGATCAGTGTGAGTGGCCAGGACAGCAGGACTGGCTGAGATGACCTGGGGAGACCTACTCCCAGAAAGCAGACTCCTTGGGGACCTTCCCAGGCTCAGCAGTGCAGCTATGTCTGTGTGTGGTGTGTGCAGTTTTATGGGTAATTGTATGTGTAATGTGTGTGTGTAGCTGTATGTGTGTGATGTGTGTGAGTGTAGCTGTGTATGTGTACAGCTGTAAACACACGTGGTGTTTATGTGCATAGTGTATCCAGTTGTATGTGTATGGTGTGTATATATATGCAGTTGTGTGTGTGTGTTTATATATGGTGTGTGTGTGCAGTTGTATGGTGTGTGTATGTAACTATATATGTGTGTGGTATGTATAATTGTATGTGTGGTATGTGTGCAGTTGTATCTGTGTGGTGTGCATATATATGCAGTTGTGTGTGGTGTGTGTGTTTGTATATAGTGTGTGACTGCAGTTGTATGACGTGTGTATGCAATTGTATGTGTGTTGTGTGTATGCATATGTGTGTATGTGCATGGTGTGTGTGGTGGTGTGTGGCATGTACATGGTGTATGTGTGTGTGGTGTGTTCAGTGCATGTGTGTGGTTGCATGGTGTGGTAGGTGTAATGCATCGTGTGTGTGGTGTGTGTAATTAATTGGATGTGTGGTGTGTGTGCAGGTGTGTGTATATGCATGCCGTGTGTGTGTATATGCATTCCATGTGTGTGATGGTGTGTGGTATGTGGCATGTGCATGGTGTATGTGTGGTGTGTGCAGTGTGTGCGGTGTGTGTGTGCCTGGACACATGTGGGGTGACAGGGTGTGATGTAGGGATTAACGGCTCTGTTAAAAATCCAAATTTCCCATTTGGGACTATTTGCTTTAAACTCTTCTCCCAGAGATGGTGTTTGCAAAAACAACACAAACCAAAACAACTGAAATAGTTGTTGAGTTCAACACATGGGCCCCTGCCATTTCACCTACCAGAACCATAGCCCACCCCACCTTCCCATCTTAACGCCCCGCAAAGTCACCTCCTGAGTTTTCCGCACCTTTTGGCTGCCCTGGCTTGGCTGGAGCCCACTCTCAGAGTGTGGTTTGACTTGGGGACTTTGAGGCTCATTGGGATATTCAATGGAGCCCTGGTTTGGAGCCGGGAGATCTGGGTTCAAGGTTGGTCTCTGCTTCCTGGAGTCCTTCTCTAAGTGCCCAAGTTCTAAGACATGGGAAATACAATTAAGCAGCTCCTTCCTGCCTTTGAGGATTACTGGGGCTCCCTGGGGTAAGGTGGCATCACAGCCACCTCAGCTTAGGAATGAGGTGCCCTGAGGGCCTGGGGCTTCTAATTAGGTGAAGTGTGGCTGATTTATTCAGGAAGACCATCCTGCCAGGAAACCCATTTTTGCTCCTTCCTCCTGAACCACTCCAGAGGCTCCAGAGAGACTTGTTTTTCTCTCAACAGTGTATGTGTTCAGAAATATGCCATGAACTTCCAACAATTCTGCTCCACAAGTCCCCATCCTCGGCTTAATAATTCAGATGTTAACTGCAGTGTCAACCTACTTCGAAAGAGGTCTCACAAAACATGAACTTAAGGTCTGCTTGGGTGGTTTCAGCAGGCAGAACATACACGGTTGGGAAAGGAGAATGCTTTCCCGAGAAAGCACAAGGCCTCACAAGTGAGGAAGGAGGTCCTTCCACCTTAAAGCGCAGCTGTGGTTCTGAGAAGCAGCAGGGCAACGGGAAGGAGCGAGCAGAAGTCCTGATGTTCAAAGGGTTGGAGACAACAGAGCAAATCTGAGGGTGTGCCAGGATTTCTGTGGCAGGGGAGCAATTTCTGACTCAAGGATGATTCACATAACTTCTCTCAGAGGGCAAGTTTAGTTCCTAATGATTTGAAATAAGACAGGGAAGAAAGTTCTGTCATCCTCAGAAAGGATGGAGCATGGGGTTCCTGGGCCACTTTACCAGGCCTCCTGGCCAGCAGCCTCGGCCTCACACCACTCTCCACACGTGCCTGGGCTGCTTTTCCTGAGTGCCATGAACAGAATCCTTTTAAGGGCTTATCAGATGCCACCTAGTTGTCCCCCACGCCCCCCAGTCCTGGCTCTCATTATTCCAGCCCCAGAGAAGTGCTCAGGCCACAGATCACCTGAATGAGCCAGACATCGTCAGGTCTCCAGGCCTTGGCAGCAAAGTGCCCCTGCCTGGAATGCCCTTGCCTGCTTGGTAAACTCCTCTGGAATTCTCTGGGTCCAAATCAGCCTCTTGGCGGTCAGGAGCAATCCTGAGCAGCTTTCTTGATATTTCTACACTCAGTGTTTTTAGCTGCAAGATGGGAATGGTCCTATTTGCCCTGATTCCCTGGAAGGGAGGTGGAGGGTCAGGCAAGACAGGGACTGGCAAAATAAACAACAGAGGATATGGCTTGGGAATAATAATAGAAGTTATAAGAGAAATAACTAACGTGGCCTGAGTGCTTGCTACCTGTCAGGCGCTGTGCGAGGACATACATATTTTCTCATCTGACCTTCACAGTGGCTCTGAAGCGGTCTCCAGGCAAAGGTGCAGCCACATGAGTTGGGCAGGAAAGGCTGGTGAGCTGCATGGGCTCTGGGTTGGGTTCTAATCCTGGCTCAGCCTCTTATCTGCTCTGGAACTCCAAGCATGGATTTTCACTTCTCCCAGCTTCGGTGTCTGATCTATGAATTAGACATGTGATGTCACCTACTTCATGGGATCATTGTACAAGGGCTACATGGGGGTAAGTTCTTAGCATCGAGCCTGGCTAAGTGATGTTAGCAACTAGGATTAATTATATATTCACTTTACAGATTTGCAGATTGGGAAGCAGAAGCTCAAAGGAGTTAAGTAACTTGCTTGGGGTCACACAGGTGGTAAGTGCTGGAGATGAGGTTTGAAACTTGTTTTGCTGGACTTCAGAGCCAAACCTTACAGCTTCTTGGACTAGGTGTCAGGACATCTGCATTCCAGCTTCAGTTGCCCACGGGGAAATTTGGGACAAGTCCCTTCCTAATTCTGGGTCTCAGAGTAAAGTGAGGGGGCTGGACCAGAGGGTCTCTAAGACCTGTGAGTCCATGGAGATGATGCCCATACAAACTACACTAGAAATACTCAAGTAGGTTGTTTTTCTGTTTTTGCTTTTTAAGAATGAAAGGTGCTAGCTAATTGGGAGGTCTCTAGATTAGTATAGACTAGGAAGCTGGGGGCAGCTGCAGAAGTAGCTCAGTATGCTGGAGGAAGCGACAGAGCACTGGTGTTGGCCATGGGACAGAGAGGGGGCCAACTCCTACCTCTTGCTGCCACAAGAACAGGAAAGTAGAACATAGGGATAGTCCTGTCCTGAGGATCTTATTAATTCATATTCACCCATCCACTGCCCACATACTCATCTAGTCATCCACTCATCCACTCATCCATTCAACCATCCACCCATCCATCCATCTACCCATCCATCACCCATCCATCCATCTCCCTACCTAAAGCTCATCTCATTGATTATATATCCATACATTTATTCACTGATCAATTCACTTACCTCACCCACCCAACCTGTACTTCCCAGGAGCTATGCCTGGGGGAACAGAGATGACTCAAATGTGTTTCTCCCTCTCAACGAGCCCACGTTGTCTATGTCAGAGAATAAGAAGACATGGGAGAGTCAGTGCTCTCACAGAGGAGGAAACACAGCCTTGTCTGATTTTCTCAGACCAGGTTCATTTCCTTACCAAAGTTGATGGATAGGAGGTGTGGGGAGGACACTGTCTGCCTTTACCTGCCTTGTGTGCTTTAGGAAGTGCTATTGTCTAGATTTCCTAGCCTGGTTTGGAGGGTGGCTGGACTTCCACTCTGGACTACGTAGCCCCTGATTTTTCTCAGGAGTCCTCTGGGCCTGGGAGGACAGTCCCTCAGAGAACCTTTGTCCTATATGGCTGGCAGTCCCTGGCTGTGAATCTGGACCCCAGGCCTTCTTTTCCGAGACCACCTTATGCTAAAGGTGCTGCAGGACTGGTCTCAGTGACCGAGAGCCCGGTCTGGCACCCTACTCAACAGCTGGCTTTGGAATATCTATCAGTTGGCTTTGTCCCTAGTTGGCTGCGTGACTCTGGGTAAGATCATTTTCCTCTGAAGCTCTGATGCTTCTGCTAATTATTGTTAGCCTCAGCATTGCTATAGATGGATTCCCCTTTCAAAGGGTGATCTTGTTGCTGAATAATGACAACACTAACCATACATGGTGCTGAATACGAGCCAGGCATTGTGCGAAGCACTTTTCACCTACTAACTCATTTCATCCTCACAAAAATCCTATCATTTCCCCCAGGAAACTGAGGCACAGAGAGGTTAAAGAACTTGTTTGCATTCTTATAGCTACACAGGGATTTGAACCCAGGCTGCCTGGCTCCAGAGGATGAGTTTAACTACCTTGTCATACCAGGGGACTCTGCTGTCCCTTCTACATGGAGGACCATCAGACCCCAGCAAGGACAGCCATGTGGCTAGGGGGTTTTCAGTAAAGATCCGGATAGAAGAGGTACAGGAGTCCTGGAATGCTAGGGTTCAAAGCACATCAGGCAACACTGGCGCCTGAGAGGTAAGTGACTTAGCCTGATTACAAACCACGGATTCCAATTCCTGGGTCCCTGACCTCTCCAGTCTCAGCAGCTATACCTCCCCAGGTAGACGGACTGACCCCTGTCCTTTAAGCCACATGGACCCGACCAACATCTGGAAATGAGATTCTAGCTTTGCCTCCAGTGCCATGCAACACATCTAATTGAGATGTCTCCTCAGCTCTCCTGGAAGACCCCAAAAGAGTTTTTTTTTTTTTTTTTTAATGTGATTACATAACCTACATCTCAATCCAAGCCCACCTGGCAGGGCTGTGCCCCTGCGGCCACCCCATCCTCCGAAGCCTGCTCTGGGAATTGCCCTGCTCCCCTCTCTGCCACATCTGCAGGACAAGATCGTTAACAGCATCTCGGTTATTTTAGGAAGGCCTAGGGAACAGAATAAAACACTGCTGAGTTCCCTTGATTCCCAAATTGGGGCGGGGGTGGGGTGAGAAGAAGACAAAACGTCATCATTTCTGGCATCACCCCAGGGGCTCTTGGTCACCCGTCCGTATGCGTCCTCCCGACCTACTTTCTCCTCTCCTCTGGGGGCCTCCCTCAGCCTGCAGTTCCGGGGTGATGTGGGTGGCTGTTCGGCCCTGGACAGTGCAGACCTTGCAGTCCCAGTGTCTGGAGGCAGAAGCTGCCTCCTCCCCTTTCTCCCACCAGCCCTCAGCCCCTTGCTGCTGAGTCACACTCTCCTCCCCATTTGGATAAACTCCTGGCGGCTCCCACAACCCAGCCTGACCATGATGCTTCAAGCTGGCTCTGGGACAGAAGGGAGAGGTCGGGGCTAGGGCACATTTGGGAGGCAAGGAAAAAAGCCCAGCCGCTCACCTAGATGCTCCCACTATAGATGTCCTATATCTGGCTGCCGACTGACCTTTGGATGGACAATTCCGTGTTTCTCTTCATCCAAATATTGGTTAATTACAAAAAGGCCATCTGTGCTTCTAAACCAAATAGGGATCACAGCATGATGAGTCTACACAGTTTAGCTGAGAGAGGAATATGAGAATTCTAACCGGAATTTGTGATACTGCTACTATTACTAACAACAACAATGTCATTGGTGGTAGATCCTTTCTGAAAATGGCCAAATTAGTTCCCTCTCTAAATCCATGCCCTTTGCAGTGTGATCTTGTAGTTCCTCCCATTAAGAGATGGAGTCTATTTCCCCATTCCCTGAATCTGCACTAGCCTCTTGGCTTGCCTTGGCCAACAGGATGCACCAAGATGACACTGTGAACCAGCCCAGACCAGCCTGCTGGAAGAGCTGGGACCACACGGAGCCAAGATGAACCATCCCAGCTGAGGCCATCCCAGCCCAGCCTACCGTGCTGCTGAGATCAGCAGAGCTGCCCACCTGAGCCACCACAGCTGCAGATGTGAGAGGGAGTCCCATGGACAGTGGAAGAGCCCACCCACAGAATTGTGCACTAAATACAGTTTGGTTTTGGAGCCACAAAGTTTTGGAGTCCAGTAGTCCCTGCTTATTTTTGGGGGATATGTTCCAAGACCCCCAGGGGATGCCCAAATCTGTGGATCTTACCGAACCCTATATATACTATGTTTTGTCCTAGACATGTATCTTCGTGATAAAGTTTAATTTATAAATTAGGCACGGTAAGAGATTAACAACTGATTAAGAACTGATAATAAAATAGAACAATTATTACAATATACTGTAGTAAAAGTTATGCGAATGTGGTCACTCTCTAGATATCTTACTGTATTGTACTCACCCTTCTCGTGCTGCTGTGAGATGATAAAGTGCCTATGTGCTGAGCTGAAGTGCAGAAGGATACAGCCTGTGCCATAAATCACAAGGCTACTCTTGACCTTCGGACGATATGTCAGAAGGAGGTTCGGCTGCTATGGGCTGAGGCTGACCACCCGTAACTGAAAGGGGAACTACTGTAGTTATGTAGCAAAAGCCAACTAGTAGTATGTGTTTTGTTTTTGCAAGGAGGACAATGACAGGATCTAAAAAATGCAATTAACATTTTGGGGGGCTCATATAAACATCATTGCTAAATCAAAAAGAAACAAGTTGCTTGCTATATGACCACCCCAAATACATCAGCAGGATTCAAAAATAGGAAACACATCATTCAATCTGCCTGGTGTCTCTGTGTCACCCCGCGGACCTTGGTTCCTCCAGTGGAGACTGCACCACTCACCAGAATCTTGGTGGTGTAGGCGCTGTTGATGGCAATGGCATTGACGAGCAGCTCCAAGGTCTTGGCGTTGATAGAGCTGGGGTCAGGGATCTCCTTGTAGTGGACATCGCCGACGTAGGCCTGCACAACTGTCATGCGATTGGTGGTCAGCGTGCCCGTCTTGTCCGAGCAGATGGCGGTGGCATTGCCCATGGTCTCACAGGCATCCAGGTGGCGTACCAGATTGTTGTCTTTCATCATTTTCTGGGGGCAGGGGCAGGTGAGAGGGCGACAGTGAGGAGAGGGAGCTGGGGGGCCAGGGAGTGGGTTGTAGTCACTGGGAAAGCATGCAGTAAGAGGTGCAGAGCTGCTGCCATCTGCCCTGTGGTTTCCCACATGTGCAAAGATGTGGAATTGGAGATCTGTGTATGTGCAGCCTTTTAATTCGCTTTCCTTATTAAACCACTTAAAAGATCTGATTAATTGACCTTTTTTTTTTTTTTTTTTTAGGATCTGTATTCCTTATGGAAAAGATAGGAAAAAGGGTGATAAATTAATGTTGGGTCTTTTAAAATGACCTCAAATATTTTTCTCTTATACCCTAACAGAAGTAGCCATCCTTTATTTGGTTAGGGGTTTTTGTTGTTGTTGTTGTTTTTTCTAAATCTTTTGCTGGTGCCTGGTTTTCATTGTCATTTTTGGTCCCACCAAAAATAAATAAATTTAGGATACATAAATGTGTTTATAGACATAGGACAGTATCTGGAAAAAATGTCAAAATATTAGGGTTATTATTTCTGCATGGTAGAATGACAGGAGATTTTTACTGCCTTCTTTTAAAAAAATTTATAGATTCTAAAAAAAAAACTACAGATTTTTTTTCTGCATCGCATATATATTATACCTCGTATAACAAAAGTCACAAATTTCTTTTCAATATACAAACACAAAAAAGAAAACAAATCCATCTTCATGCCATCACCCAGAACGGATACATCTTATGTATAGACATCTTTTCTTCTTAAATTTATAGCAAAAATGGAATCCCACCATACTTATTATTATGAATTTTCTGGTATTCGCGTCCTCTCTGTCTTCCCAGCTTCACTCCTAGCTTCTTTGAGGTTCTCAAGCAAACTCATGCAAATGAAGTAATTCTCAAGCAAGTGTCATGCTTAAGATAGACCCTGCAGACCCAGTTACCCTATCTGGCAAGGGGGGGACAAGAGAAGCTGCTAGAGGCTGAATCAGACAAAGTTCTCGTCTGTTCCTAGTAATCTGGTTTCCTTTGTTCTTGCTCCCCATCCTAACTCTTCATAAAAAAGGTAAAAAAAGAGCGCCATTAGAATAGTTTTAATAGTAGTTCATGTTACGAAGAAATGAGGATTGGTAGAATTATATGCTATTGCAATCTTCTTATAACCTGCGATAATAGTAACACCTCATGTATGTTGAATGCAGGAGCAGTAGCAATAGGAATTTGCCACATGCTGTACGGCTGGCGAAGTTCTTCCTGGTTCATTTTCTAGTCTGATGGTATAGGAGGCCTGTGAAACCTTTGGGGATGGCGATCCTCCACGTTGGCCAATGGAAAAGCCACAGCCAAGTGATCTGACCAGGATCACATACCTAATATGGGTTAATGCTGAGACTGGAGCCCGGCTCTGTTTAACTTCACAGCCTGGGTCATTCCATCGGGCCCCTGCCCATCTGTACTGCCGGAACAGGGTTCGTCTGTTGGGCTTAAGAATGAATATATAGGTGGCTGCTCTGCCCTGGAAGTGTGGCTGGTCTGACGTGAAATGCGCTGTACGTGTAAAAATATGTGTTGGTTTTTGAAGACTTATTAGGAAAACGGCAATGAAAGACATCTCACTAGCTATTTGTATATCGATTATATGTTGGATTGCTAACATAATATGTTTGGACATAAAGGTGAACTAAATGATATTACTAAAGGTGAAGTAAATTATATTATTAAAATTAACGTCACCTCTTTCTTTTTACTCTTTCCTTCAAACATGGCCGTGAGGGAATTTAAAAATCACACATACGGCTCACGTTGCATCTCTGAGTCATCTCTGTTCTTTCGATAACGGCTCCCAGGGTGGGTATGCCAGGCTCAGAGAGGGGAGAGTTTGCCTCTCCTGGGTTGGGGCTGTACTCAGTTTATCAAGTGACTATAAAAGTAACATGACCTAAGACAGCTGAAGGTACCAGATGCCAGAGATGCGAATGGCAGAAGGTGCAGAGACCTAAAAAGGTCTGTATGTGGTCACCCCAAACTACCTCTGTGTGACTTTCAAGACACCCTGAGCTCGGCTGGGTGGCTGTGGGGGTCCCCTCTCATGGCTTAATGAGAATCACCATCTTTGGGCCCCAAAGCCCCAAGCAGTATTGTGTTGTAACCCGTTTGGTCTTTGGTCTGTGAGATGGAGTTTCTTCAAGAACCCTAAAACAAGGAGGTGATAAGGGCCATATCCTTTACCCAGAGCTGCCACTTTCTGGCATCTGCCTGGAGATCTCTTTTCTGTATGAAATTACATCGGCAAGCCCAGTCCAAATTCCAAGTTGGAAACTGACGCCGCCGTGCCCTCTGGCAGCTCTGCCAATGTCTCAGAGCCAATGCCTTGTTTATAAACATGCCCAGGGCTCCATCCTTGTAGGGACATCCTGACGTTGGGGCACTGGGGACCAGGAGTGCAGAGCCCTGGCCTCCAAGGTGGGAAAACCATGCGGCCAACGGCAGAGAATGAGGCCCCAAGCTTGAGGTACCCACTGAGATGCGCAGCCCAGTGTTCGGACTCCATGGTCGGCCTTGGCCTGGGAGCAGGGGGCGGCAGGGCTCTGCCATCTGGGGAGCACTAGGAACACCCACCCCACCCCCCGACCCAAGTATCCACAGTCAGCTTTCATGGACTTACCACCCTTCATGAAACTGCTTTTAAAACCTCTTCCCTTTTCAGCCCATCCCCGGAGTGGAGGGGGTTTCCTTAAATCAGATTTCTTTTGGCTTTAGGCTCATCTCTTCCCAACTTCAGGGAGCAACCTCTGAGACAAGTTGCAGAAGTATCACAGCTTCCATGGGACTTTGACCTCAGACTTCTCCTTACATTTGGTGTGATGGGGTTGGGTTTGGGTCTGCTTTTTATGGTGTTTTTTTTTTTTTCTTTTTTAAAGTGGAGTTGATGATCAATGTTTAAAAATCTAGAGAGCTTATATTAAGTCCAGCTTTCTGGCTTCTCTGGAAAAAATGTGAAGAGTGGGCAATGCAGGGGGGCTGCATCTGCAAGGCAACACTTGGCTGGGGTGAATGATGGCTGTCGCTGGAGCCAGGGTGTGGCCCTCTGGGCTGCTATAGGCCTCCCTGAGGACATGTGAGCTCTGGGTTCCCACATATGTCTCATCTCCCAGCTTCCAGGGTGCTCCCTTCCTTCTTCTTAGCTCTACTCACGGCCCCAGCGCTTGCCCCACAGGCCACCCCCAGAGCCCTGGCTGGGGGCAGCTGATCCGAGCTGTGCCGGCCGGTCCTCTCCTTCTCACCTTCACCGAGTAGGCCAGTGAGATGGTGACGGCCAGAGGGAGCCCCTCTGGCACGGCGACCACCAGCACTGTCACACCGATGATGAAGAACTTGACAAAGTACTGCACGTAGACGGGTGTGCACTCGGGTAGCCACGGCTTCTTGTTGACCACGAAGGTGTCCACGGTGAAGTAGAGCACCAGGATGATGACTGTGATGGCTGACATCACCAGACCTGTAACACGGGTTGGGGGGCAGATCTGCTCAGGGGCTCTTCTGAGGGTGGGGGCCCTGGGAAGTGAGATGGGGACCAAACACTTGGCTAGGCGGACCCTAACCCACATCTCATAGCTTTATGGCCTGGGGCATGTCCTTGAGCCTTACAGAGCCTCAGTCTCCTCCTCTGTGCAATGGGGATGCATGCTTATTTCACGCGGTTTTGCAAAGATCAAAAGTGATGGATGCATGTAAAGCCCCTTGCACAGTGCCCGACACCTTGCGGGTGATCAGGAAATATGTGCTGAGACCATGGGAATCAGTTTGAACTCCCTGCATAGTTCTCACACACATTCACGTGTGGTTAGTACCATTTATCAACTCACCCGCCCAGGCACCTAGTAGCTCCTAATTCAGGAACAAGGGACACAGTCCTAGAGAGGACAGACTCCCTGCCCTTGAGAAGCTGAGACTTCAGAGGGGGAGGCAGACAAGAAGCAAAAAGCTCATGAACAAGATCGTCCACGTAGGGATAATGGTGTGTAGAACTGCAGGATGATGTGACAGAGAGCCACACAGGCTGCCGGTAAGAAAACAACCCACGTGTCCATCGGCAGACCAATGGATCAAGAAAACATGGCACAGACACACAGCAGAGTATGACTCAGCCTTAAAAAAGAAGGAAGTCCTGCCACTTGCAACCCCATGGATGAGCCTGGAGGACATGATGCTAGATGAGAGAAGGCAGACACGGAAGGGCTTACATGAGGAATAGAAATAGTCAAACTCATAGAAGCAGAGAGTGGAAGGTTGGTTGCCAGGGGCTGTGGGGAGGGGGAGAGAGAGGGTTGTTTTTCAGTGGGTATAGAGTTTCAGTTATGCAAGATAAAGAAGTTCTAGAGCTCTGCTTCACACCACGGGGCCAACAGTGAACAATATGGTATTGTGAACTTCAAAACCGGGTAAGAGGCTAGATTTCTTCTTCAGTGTTCTGACCCCAAACAAAGGAAAACAGAAAAACCCAGGAAAGAACACAGGAATTTTGGGAGTTGGGGGATATGTTTCATACCTTGCTTGTGGTGATGGCATCATGGGTGTACGCCCATGTCCAAATTCATCAAGATGTACATTACATGTGTGTAATTTTTTGCATATTGATTGTACTTCAATCAAGCTTCAAAAAAGAAAACAGAACAACACGGGCTGGTGGGGAGGGACTGTTTTAGCGAGGGTGTTCAGGGAAGACTTCCTGGAGGAGGTGATACTTGAGTAGATGGGGAATGATGAGAAGGATCAGCCAGAGGGTGACGTGCAGAAAGAGTGTTTTGGATGGAGGAAAGAGCAGGGAGCCCTCTTTCAGCTGAGGACACTGAGGTCAGTGAGGGAAGGGACCTGTCCAAGGTCACAGGCCCGAGAACACTACAGAGTTAGGAGATGTGGGTGGCTATCTGCTCGGATCCCCTGAGACCCCCTGGCCCGTTCGGGGAGCTGTAGGCACTGTGCAGGTGCTGCAGAGGCTTTGCACAGCTGCAGACTCTGCCAGAGGAAGTCCACACTTCAGAGAGCACTGTCTCCTGTCAGGACATATCTGGGACGGCACCCCACCCCAATCTGATGGCCAGTATTCAATGGCTCAGGTGGAGGGTCCAACAGCCCAGACCCCTTGCTGCGAGACCAGACAGACCCTGCAGAGGTAGGCAGAGATGGGGATTTCTCCAGGAAGTATCTGGCTTTTTCCGTGGCCCTATTGAGTCTCTTACCCTTTACAGGTCTCACCGGAGAGCACCCTTGCCCCTAAAAATCCTGCACCGATCCACCTCAGACTCTGCTTCAGGGAATTCAGCCCAAGAGGGAAGCAGAGGTGGGATGTGAACCTAGAAGTGTTTGACCCCGAACTCCATTCTTGGCAAGGCTGAGGAGGGGGAGGGGGGTGAGCAAGGGCTTTGAAGGCTGTGGGTGGTTCTCATCGCTCCTTTCCCTGCCCCCCAGTGGCGGTACTGTGGCTCTGCGGAGTCTGCTGTATGCCAAGGCTGGAGGAAATCCCTGGGCCCATCGCTCCCCCGCTCCCATCTCCAGCTGTGGGACTTCAGAGCGGACTCTATCCCCATCTGACAGTCGCAGGGGCGGGAAGCCAAGCTCCCAGCAGCCGGGAGCTATCACCAGGCCCCTAGTTTAAATATAGACAGCCAAGCCTGTAATTTGCCTCCCTTCTCCACGCTGTGGTGCCTATAATTAGAGCCGGGAGACAGCCAGGTGGGGAGGCCTTGGTGTTTGCGTGTCCTCATGCGGGTTGAGAGGCCAAGGCCATGTCAGAGGGGCAGGGCTGGCCTTGCAGCTGAGCTCAGCTTCCTGGGCTGGAGGGGCCACCACCAGCCATCACCTGGAGCTCCCAGCTTGGTGGGGATCAGGCTTGTGCTGAGGCTCAGATAGGAGGCTTCTCACTGGGCTCCTAGCATGGCCCTCAACCTCTTCAATCTTTCCTTTGCACGGCAGCTGGGGTCGGGGGGCCAGTCAAGAGCCCTAATCCAGCCCCCACTCTGCAGATGAGGCAACTGAGAGCCAGCTCGGGGCGGGGCCCTGGGCTGGGGTCCCTCTGTGTACCCCACGTCCCCTTGTGCACCGTCCACGGCGGCCGCACGCTTACCTGCCTTGCCGATCTGCACAGCCAGCTTGGTGAGCTTGCCCTGCAGCACGGATTTCTCCTTCTTGTGCATGTTGGCCTTTTTTTTGTCATCAGCGTCGCCGCCCTCCGCACTCTTGAGGGGCTGCATCTCCATGGCGGCGGCCCCATCCTGCTGTTTGGCTGTAGGGGGCAGAGTATGCACATACACGCACACACGCACACACATGCACGCACACACGCACACGCGCACACAGCCAGGTCAGCCTGCAGGGTGGGCATACTGGCACCCACCCTGCTTGCCCAGGGGAGTGTGCTGAGACACTCACTCCCTTGTCTGGACCCCTGCATGGCTGGCACAGACACCCTGTGATACGGGGTCTGCTTCTTCCAGCTGGAGACCATAGTCCCAGGGCCAGGGACTGCCTTGGACCTGGAATCCAAGTGTGAATAGGGAGTGACACAGTTCTTGGGTTCCCAGCAGGTGTAGGCTGGGGTCCCCACTGGGCCTGAAGAAGCCCAGAGATCCTTCCCCAAATGGCCCCTCAGCTTTTGCCACATTTAGACAAGACAGATAGCCTTGGCCTTCCCCAGGGGGTTCTTGAGTATGTTGTTGGGATATTAATAGTCACCAGAGAAGAGGGACACAAAGGGGGCTTAAAAGATAAAAGAAAGTGTCCTTATCCTTGGGTGCCAAGCCTCCTCTTCCTTCGGTGAAGGACTGACTGGTGGGTCTGGGGCCTTATCCCTTAGCCCCTCAGGATTCCAAAGAACCAGCTTCAAGTCTTCAGCAAAATGGGTAGCCTAGCTCAAAGGCTGGGGAAGAGCTGGCTCACAGGTGGCCCCTGTCCTCATGGGTGATGTCTCCATTGGGCCTGACACCATGTGAATCACAGCCATCCCCTCCCCGACCCCTCCCCCCCAATGCCAGGCACCTGCAGGCACAGACCTGTCTGCTTCTAGCCTGGCTCTCAGAGCCAGTGGGGGAGGGGCAGCAGGGACCCCAGAAGCCGGTGAATACAAAAGGGTTACCTTTGCTCTGGCTGGCGTCCACATTGCCATCCTGCATTTTACCTACACGACAAAGAATTTTAACAGACAACAGAGAACAGACAACACACGTCGATCATCACAGACGCAACAGGGCCACCGACATTCATGTCACAGATGGAGGAAGGGCCGGGCCGACTCCGTCCCTCCACACGGGGACGCTGGGGTGGCCTGAGACAAGAAGAAACCTGGCCACTGCACTAGCTGCAGGCTCTGTCCTGATTCTCTGGGGGCTTGGAGAGAGAGCTTCAGTGGGAGTTATTTCAGCCCTGAGGGTACTGAGTAAGTGACTGCTTTTGAGGGTAAAAGGGACCAGAGCTGACTGGCAGGAAGCAGAGAGGTCCTCAGGTCCCCAGTGATTAATTTGGTCAGTGCTTTGGTGGGCTGAGAGGAGGCAAAGGAAATGAAAGACACACACACACACACACACACACACACACACACACACACACATTCTAGAAAGGGGAGGACTTTGGTCAATGTGTTCCTTAGTTCCTGGCTCCAGGAGTGATGTATGTAGAATTTTGCTTTCTCCTTGTCCATCTGGAGGAGTGTGAAGCCACAGCAAGGACAACCCCCCGCCCAGCTCCACTGAGAGTGACACATGCCAAGGTTGAGCAAGAGCTCCCTAGTAGTAGGCTTTGAGGGGCCCCAAGCACTGCCCCCGCTGGGAAGTTGCCAACCCCTCCCTCCACTTGGGTGTATGCTCTTTATTCTGAGGCTGACCAGCCTGGGCCCTAGCAGACAGGCAAGTAGGGCTGGTGGGCTCCCCCGGGTGCCCCCCTGCCCTGGCCCTGCACGCCAGTGCTGGGGAAAGGGCTGAGTCTGGGGCTGCTCACCTCCTAATCAGGGTGGCCTGGGAGTACCCCCAGCCTGCTCCAGTCTCGGCCAGAGTCTTGTGGGCTGGGTTTGCAGCGTGGGCCGTACTGGCAGCCCCTCGTTGGCAGCTGAGACACCTGCCTTTACCGCTGGCACTACAGAGAGGAGGTTTCCTCCTGTCCCCTTGGCCTGTCCTCTGAGCTCACTCAGAGCTCTGCCCACAGGCCTCGCTACCTTGGGAGGAGTCTGCGGAGGTCAGCCGCCCTTGGCCATTTGCTGTGAAGGTGATTCTCACAGCTCACGTTCTGTGAGAACCCACCACGTGCCAGGTGCATACAGAACCTCCATGATTTCATCTAACCCACATCACATCCCTACAAGGGCACTCCTGCCCTGCACCCACTTCCAGATGACAACCTGAGGCTCAGAGAGACAGATGACCTGCCCGGGTCCCCGGGGTTAACGGAGAGCTGGCCCCATCTATGTTTCCACCCCAGCTGAGGAGAAGACAGCTAGCTCTCAGCTCCTCTGAACCCAGAGCAGGGTCATCAAGGTGGTTGTGTGCCCCTGTTTGGACATGAACTAGCTGTGTGGCTTTACCTCTCCCAGTCTCAACATCCACCTCTGTAAAATAGGGAAGCAACATTCAGCTTCTGGAGCACCTGACAGTGGCCTTAGTCATAACCACTTGCCCATTTAGCATTCTGCAGTTTGTAGGGTTCCTCTCTTGCCCATCTCCCCAATACCCTGTGGGCGGGATGGGAGGGAGTCTAAGCACTCCCATTTTACAGATGAGAAAACTGAGGCCAAGAGAGGTTCAGAGACAGCTCTCATTTCTGGAGTGTCCTGATGATAACCCTGTGGCTACCTTACTGGTTCCACAACACTGTCCTCACCCACACCAGATCACGCTGAAAGTGACTCGGAGGGGAGAAGTGGCTTTCCTGGATCCCAGCCCCGTGCTACCTCTCCAGGGGAAATGTTGGGCTGTTCCCACTGCCTCTCACGGCAAATGGTCAGGGACCCACCCTGGGGGCGGAAAGAGAAGGCCCCCATTGCTCTATTGCAAAGTTCTTTTTGCTGGATTAAAAACAAAACAGAAAAAAACTTTTTAGAGCCAACAGGAATGAACTACAATAATTATCTTTCTTTTTAAAAATAATTTTACTAACTGGGCTAAAGGGCATGGGAGGACTCCTCTTCCATACTTGGTTCTAGAAGACACAAAGGGGCCTTATTTGCATTGCATATTATCAAATGCAATAGCCCATGTGTGCGCCCATTAACCAAGCTAGCAATTTCCTCTTTTATTTCCACAGTGATCACGTGGCCAGAAAGATAATCACCAGTGCATATGTTCAAGGGAGGGAGCAGTGTTGTGGGGGTGCTTCTGCGCACATGGCCTGGTTTCTCAGAAGCCAAGGGCTTTTCTCAGCCAAAGTGGAGCTCGCCTGGCCCCTGGAACTATGGGGGGACAGCCAGACCTGGCTCCGTGCATGACCCGGGAGAGGGGGCTGTTGCAGGGAAGCTGGGGTGGGGAACTTGGGCGGAGACTCGGAGACCCCCCCACCCCACATCTGATGCAGACACAGCTTTGACAAATAGGTCTGTTATGGGCCATGGGTGTGAAAAGTGTGTGTGTGGAGGCTCGATGGTGAGGTGACCTGATAAACAAGCTTTGGGGAGACAGAGCACTAATGAGGTGAACTGGGAGATGTTACTTCTCTTGCCTGTGCTTCCATCTCTTCCTCTGTGACATGTGACAATGTCGACCAAAGTGATGCTTAGGAAAAGCATCACCAAGTGCCCTGTTAATGTCTGGAGTTCAGAGTGGTGTATTTACTAACCGTGATTACAAGCAACGTATTGAACAGTGGTATGTTAATCAGTGTAAATGAAATAATAAAATGATAATGGCCATCATAATGGCTCCAAGATGAATGGAACACACCCGCTTTCAGCTGGGAGGGGGCTTGGTGGGGGTGGGCTCAGAGGGACTACTGCCAGGTAAGTGTGTTTTCTATAGCCAATCATCCTGATTTGGCTCAGAGGAAGGAAGAAAAGGAATGGTTAATTCTCTCATTGACCAAGGCTCAGCCAGGCACCTCTCAACCTTTAATACACTCTGGTCTGGAGCCTGGAAAGCTCATTAGATGAGATCAGGCACATTCAGTGTGGTATGGCCCTAGACTGGAGAGTTTATATGAATGCAGATTTTAGTTCAGTGGGTCTGGGGTTGGGCCTGAGATTCTGCATTTCCAACAGGCTCCTAGGAGATGTCCAGGCTTCTGGTCCTCTGGTTACATTTTGAGTAGCAATGGCTTAGAGTACTATTTCCCTAAATATATTACAGAGACAAACCAATCCCACAAGATTCAGCCAGAAAATGTCCTGCAGCCACATCAGCCTGGGAAGCCCTCCATGGCTAACTTTCCACTATATACCAGCATATTCAAGGCTCTGAGAAGTCCTGCAATAAGGAAGAGACCAATTCTGTCCCATGGTTCTTAAACATCTCTGACCACAGGATCCTTTTCTTGGGGGCAGGATCTATTAATATTCCTGTGATGTTTACAAGACACACTCTTTCAGGAAACCCTGGATCAGGAAGTGGAATATGCACTTTAGAGCCAGCAGGCCTGGGTTTGAATCCTAGGTCTGCTTCTTTCTTGTTCTGTCATCTTAGGCTAGTGTCTTGATCTCTCTGAGCCTCAGTATCCCAATCTTTAAAGTGGGGACAATAAACTCTGTATCACAGGGTTGTCATGAGGATCAAATGAGGCTATGAGCAGGAAATGTTTGCAAAATGCCTGGCATACAGTAGGTAGTCAAGTTCCCCATCTTTCCTGCAGTTTTTCTCAGGATACCAGGAGTTTTCTGCTACAGTTTGGAAGTGAAGCAGACTTTTTTTAGGATGGACCAGCCTGGATGCAGTCTGTATGTTCACTGAGCCCAGTGCGCTCACTGCTCTGTGGGAAGCAGGATGCCAGCTCCTGTTTCCTTCTCCCCCTGCCTGGGTTTGCCTATATTGGTTCTCCCTGTCATCCCTCGCCACCCCTCCCTGACGCATGACACCTCCCACACCCCAAGCTGTTCTCCTTTCTCCTCCGGTGCCTGAAATAGACCCACACCCAAATTAGCAAGGCGCAGCTCACAGAAGTGTCTTTCTTGGCCCCTGACATCTACAAGGTGCTTCCATCATTGGTCATTTTGAATGCAGGTGGCCCAGCCAGAGGTCTGGGGCAGGGGATGGGAGTATGAGGTAGGACAAGACCTCCACATCTTCCAGGAGTGGTGAGGAGGAAATGATATAATGGATGAGAAACCCGCAGCCCAGTGCCTTGCGTGTAGCAATGCTGCAAGAAAGGCTTTTCCCTTCCCTCAGTTCCCCAGGGCAACTGTTTTATGATCAAGCCCTATAGCTCTCAGCTTGGGTGACTATCATGCCACCTAATCTGGGGACAGGGGACCTATCTGAGTACACAGAAGCCTCATCACTCTGAAGATGGGAGGGTACAGAAATAAGAAATCCTCTAAAGGTCTGGAGGCAAGTGAATGGAATTCCTTCTTGCCTGTGGGTAAGGAGGTCAAAATGCAGATCCCAGGTTACCGTGGTTGCCCCACCACCACCACCCCTCAGCCCCGAGGGGGCCCATAAGAATGCAGAGACTCAGGACAAATGCTCTAGCACAGGCAACAGCAGGAAACACCAGTCCACTTCCAAGGGATAGAACCAGGCCCGCGCCCAAGCGAGCCCCCTGCCCGTTCACTCAGAGAAAAAGAAGAGGAAGAAATGTTTATCAGTGGCTCAGCCATGCTGTGGGGTGGGGCCAAAGAGCTGAACCCCGGCCTGGGTCCCCTGCCTCGAGGAAATTTTCAAGTCCAGGACTGGAGACTTCACTAGGGACCCAGATGCCAGCTTCAGCCCAGGTCCTGACCCCAGGCCTTCTTCCCCAAGCGGGGGCCAGGAGTGTGCTTAGGAGAGGGCCACGACGGGTGGGATGCTGCTTCTTGGGAGCCAAATCTGAAGCCCAGGGTATGTCCCTCTTCTGGGCTCCACTGGGGGTTAAGGCCCCATAGGAGCCAGTGCCATTTGGGTTGCCGTAAGCAGGCGCGGAGCTGATTCCCCGTTGGTGGCTTCTCTCTTAAGCGCCTGCCCCACGTGGGAGGATGATTGTCCCAGAGCTGCCCATGCACATCCAAGATCTGTGCAGTCCAGAACAGGGAGAGGCAAGCCCAGAGTTGGGGGTGGGGGAGAGAGACGCCCATCCAACCGAGACCGAGAGCTCGCCATCGGAGACGTACCATTGACTAGGCTGGTATTTGCACTATCAGCAGCATTTGAACCTGCTGCACCATCGGCCGCTGCGGGGGTGGGAGGGATGGAAAATGCAGTGTGTCACAATGGAGAAAAGCAACAATGCAGAACAGCAACAACAATAGACATGAACCAACTTGCGGGAAATAACATGACTACATTCTTAAAAAAAAAAAATCTCTGTTGGAAATCAGGAAACTCAAATTTAGGAGGGTGGGGGTGGAACGTTCCCATAGAAATGTCATAAAAATCAGGGGAAAAAAAAAACTCAGACATGGAGGGTCTTTGAAATAAAACATGGCAGATGATAAATGTGGTTAGGTAGCATGGCACCGTTCTGTACTAAGGTCTGGACCGATGTACCGCTCTGGCCATGCCAATCAGGCAGGTTCCTATCAGAGAAGCTTCTAGGAGAAGGCATCTGGCTGCCCATCAGGGCCAGAGGGACCCATGGACAGGAGTCATTTCAAAACATTCAGCAACCGGCATGGTGCAGGTACCCGCCATTCTGATCAGGTACTTGCTGTGACCACCATCTCTGTGTCCCAGAGGGACTGTCCAGCGGTGGCGGTGACTCAGGATTCGAGCCCTGGACTCAGGCCACTGCCCACAGCCACCTCCTCCTTCCTAACCAGCACTCTAAAGATCGCCTTGGTTACCCCTATACAAGATGCCCCATCGTTGAAGAGGTGACATCCAACATGTTGTACTTTGCGCATGAGACAGAGAAAGGTACTAGCCAGTTTTCCTTAGTTTAGCAATTAAAAATGACGTGAGATGGTCAGATGCACTCTGGTTGTTCTTTCTTGGGGCGGGGGGAGATGGATTGTGTGGGAAGGAGAGGGTAAGGTGAGGTGGGTTAGATGCCCATGCTGTGCACTGAGAGGCAGCCGGGCTGGGCTCTGCGGGGTGTGCACATGAGAGCAGGGCTGTGGGGTCGTGTGATGATGAGCGGGGCACCACACACTGGCGTTGGGGTGGAGGGCTGTGTGGGGTTGGCGTGGAGACGGCGGTGGCGTCGTGTGCATCAGAGGGCAGGGAAAAGCACTGAGGGGCAAATAGGTAGAGTGAGGGGCTGGTTCCTCCAGTGGGGTCAGCATCACATGGGGGCCCAGTGGAGGGTCCCAGGGTCAGGGGGCCTCCTCCAACGGTGTGTTGGGGGTCTAGGGCCACGGCCTGGGGGTCAAAGGCTGCTGCTATTTCTAAAAGCCCCATCTACCCTGAGGGGGGTCTTACTGTACCTGGTAGCTGAAGGCCATCCCCCTTCTTCACACCTGTGTGATGATTTTTGAGACATGTTAATGAAGGAGAAGCACATACAGCCTCACCTGCATGTCCACACACTCACGCGCGCGCACACACACACACACGCACACACGGCTGCACACCGGTGCTCATCCTGACATGGGGCCGTGATGGAGGTGGAGGTGAAGGGATGGGAGTGCAAAGGGGGCCCAGTCCCCATCCATGTCGCTCACAGGCGCCTGAGAGGCTGGGCTACCCCTTATCTTCCTCTGCTGTGGCCCCCCCAACATCCCACTTCTTCTCTCTACACAGACCCCCACCTCACTGGGGTGCAGGTGTGTGTTCAGTGAAGGACTCTGACCTGTGCTTCAGGGCAAGAGAGGCCTGTCTTCCTGCTGAAATCTTCAGGAACATAGGAACATAGGTACACAGGTACATAGGAACATAGATCCGGCTTCCCTCACTCAGGCCCCAGTGAGGCCAAGAAAAGGGGCAAAGGCTGCCTCAACCTGCCGTACCCTGCCTACTGCCCCTATCTGCCTGACTGTCTGCACCCTGGTGTCAGAGCCAGCCACAACCTCTACCTCACGTGTGGATGCTGTCCTGATTCCCTCCGGGCCTTTTGACCAGGACTGTCTCCTTAATATTTTCAACCTCAGCTATCTCCTGGTTCTCTCCAGCTTCTGGAAGCTGTCCTTCCCGGAGGACAGCTCAGCTCCACTGTTCCTGCTGGCGGGGCTGCCATAATCTTAGGGGGACCCCTCTAGAAAATGGGGTATTGCCATTAGGAGCCAGTAACCTTTGGTTATGACCCAGGCTCTGTGCCTGGCTGGCTGCAGAGAGCAAGAGGTAGCAAGGCTTCCCCTGTACCCCAAGGAGGGGCTATCGACTTTCTCATTTCCTTCTCCTGGACTCCAGATGGTCTGGCTGTTGGAGACCTCCTTTTGGAGCTTGGGGAAGGAGACATGACAAAAGACTGAAGATGTGAGAGGGGTCTGTCCCTGAGACTGAGTGTAGGTGTTGGGGAAAGAGCCAGTTGTGCTAGAGCCAGAGGCCTGGGCCTTTGGATTGGGGCCTGGCCAGATGGGCATCCCTCCCTCTTCTCGGAGAGGCCCCGGTATACCAGGCTACCAGCCTGCTGCGCTGAGAGGGAGCCCAGGGAGTAGGAAGCTTGTTTCAAAGGTGAAGGAGGAGCCAGGAGCCAGGCAAGGTGGCAGCTCTGGGGACGGGGTGTTGGGGAGTGAGAAAGGGAACCAAAAGTTTGGCCTCCTTTCCTAGAATCTCCTTTGCCCCCATCTAGGCTGAGTCTATGCTGGGGGTGGTTTGCAGCTCTGCTCTGTGGAGTTGAGAATAGTGGTAGGAGTGAGGGCAGGTGGGGCTTTCTACTCCCTACTGGGGCTGATGAAGGGACCAGGTCCCACTAGAGGCTGGAGAATCAGCCAAGTGCTCAGCACCCTGAGCCTGGCCTGTGGGGGGAGGGTCCTCCATGACATGACCGGACAGACAGAGACCGGGACAAGACCCTGGAGATGGAACCGACAGACTGTCACGGCCCAAGCAGGGCCTCCGGGATGCAGGAGGCAGCCGTTGGCACAGGGCGTGGACATAGAAGGCACTCAATAACCATTTTGTGGAGGGAATGAATAAACAACAAAAAAAGTGATCTGAAGAGCTCCTCTCCTGGTCCGTAAAGGGGTCGTGCTTACCTTTCTTGTCTTTCTTCTCTTCCTCCTCACCACCAGCCCCCAGCAGGGTGAAGATGATGCCTGTCTGAGAATTCACACCCACGGCAGTCACTACCATCCGTCCAGAGCCCTCCATCACATGGGTCCCTGGGGAAGGAGACGAAAGCCAAGTTACCGTTGCATGGGCCCAAGCCCCCTCCCCAAAGGAGTGGAAGGAACTGGGTCCCGGAAAGCTCCTGGCTCTTTGCCTGCCGAAGCCCTGGGGTGCCCCCCACGGTCCGGGTTCAAACTATGTACGTATGGCGGGTCCTTTGAAGAGAATTTCACTTCGGGACAGAGTTGCAGTGGGCCTGGGACTGAAATATTGCCATGCCTTACTTCTCAGGCCTACCACTACCTTCTCCCGGAGATTCACCTCCCTACCCTGTCTGACAGGACCTCTTAAAAAAGCCCTTCTAAAGATCTAGGGAAGAACTCAGGGCACTGGGAACTTGGAAGGGAAGACAATGGTATCTTTCTTTTCACAAATCTCTAACTGAAATTCAGCATTTCCACCAGCCCTGAGCATAGGCAACCAACCCCTGGAGTGCTAGTGGCTCACAATGCCATTACCCGTGTTACAAAGAGCACAGGTTCTCTGTCCTATGACTCTGTAGTTGTTGCAATCATTTATTTTACAAGTATGATTTTACAAGTACAGAGGTTATTGGACTACCTACTTATTAGGGTGCTGACAAAGAAGCACACTTGTTACCCTATCACGAGTTGTTTATTCTGTGAACTATTTCAGTATAATGGACTTCCTCTGTGATCCAGTGCATTTTGTTTTATGCGGTTTTAAAAAGTTTTTTATTTTTTAAAGATTTTATTAATTTATTTGGCAGAGAGAGAGAGAGAGAGAGAGAGAGAGCACAAACAGGGGGAGTGGTTGGCAGAGGGAGAGGGAGAAGTAGGCTGTCCACTGAGCAAGGATCCTGATGCGGGGCTCAATCCCAGGACCCTGAGATCATGACCTGGACCTGAAGGCAGATGCTTAACTGAGTGAGCCACACAGGCGCCCCTATTTTGTGGATTTTAAAGCTTTATTCTGAGTAAGGGTGGCACGTGATGACACTAGACCTCCCCAGGCTCCAAGAAAACCTCTTTTGTAGAACATTAGGATTTTCAAACTGGGGTTTAAAGGACCCTGGAATTGTTTTGAAGGGCGGGAGGGTCAGCCACAGGAGGGCAAAGGGGTCCTCTGGTTAGAGTGGCTCCACTTTTATTCATCCCTGGGGTTTCTGTGTCAGCTGCTGTGTGATAGAGACACCCCCCCGCCGACGACCTGCAGGTGCAGAGGGCAGCTGGTCCAAGGTTCACTTGGGGGGTTCGTGCTGGAGTGAGGATAAAACGAATGGTAAAGCTGCCGAAAACTGTGCTATATACACGGAGTGGAATACTATTTGGCCTTCCAAGGGAAGGAAATTATGACACAAGGTACCACACGATCAGCCTCAAGGACATTACGCTCTGTGCAAGATACCAGATACAGAAGGCCAGCTGCTGTGGATTCTGCCGCAGGAGCTCCGTGGAGCAGTCAAAGTTGCAGGGACAGAGAATGGAGTGGTGGTTGTCAGGGGCCGGGGAGGGGGACTTTCAGGGGGCTGCTGTTCAGTGGCTCTGGAGGTTCGGTTTTGCAATATGAGGAGTGCCAGAGGTGGACAGTGGTGACGGTGGCACAATGGCGTGAAGGTCCACAATGCCACAGACCTGTACCCTTAATGATGCTCAACACGGGACATTTTATATGTATTTTACCATGATAAAAGAGTTGGAAAAAAAAAGCAAACCCGCTGAAGCCGTGGCCTTAATTGGGAAACAGGTGAGGCTGGGGTGGGGTGGGGGGCGGCTGGGACCCAGCCCGGGACATGGCTCACTGCTACTGTGGCCTGGTCCCAACAGAGATGCAGGCAGAGCTGGCCCTCTGTCCTCAGGCTGGTGCAGGGGACGTGTCACTGTGCCCTAGGAGCTCTCACAGACCCACAGGCTACTCATAGGGTCGGCCTGCATGCTGTCCCTGCAGCAGGCTCTGGGCACCCCTGGGGAGGGCCCCTTGGCCTGCTAGTGGCCCCACTGTTTAGTCAAGAATCTGTGTAAGTGCAGTTTGCACCTTTGGGCACCCATTTTTTATTTTAAATTTAAACTTTTACTCCCCTGGGTAGAAAGCTCTCTTCAATGCAGTGCGTATTTCCTTTCCCAGCAGAGAGGGGAGTGTCTCAGGCCACCATCAGGCTGCTCAGGAAGCAGCAGACTGGGGTTGAGGGCTAAAAGGCCCTGATGACTTTTTTTTTTTTTTTTAATAAAGGTCTTATTTATTTATTTGAGAGAGACAGAGAACACAAGCAGGGTGAGTGGGAGAGGGAGAAGCAGACTCCCCACCGAGCAGGAAGCCTGATGTGGGGCTTGATTCCAGAACCCTGGGATCATGACCTGAGCCGAAGGCAGACGTGTGCACATGGGTGTATGTGTGTGTTCTAGCCCCTTGTCCTCTAACATCTCTCATGATCTCAAAAATGCTTTACAGACAGACAGATGGACACTCTCCAGTGAGTTCCTTCATGGCAGGTAAAGGTCAGTCTGTCTATCTGTGCATGGGTAAACCAAGTCATGCAGGCTCCCACACGGGGCACGAAGCCAAGTGAGCTGAAATGGAGCCCAGATGTTCAGATGGTGAGCTCTTCAGCTGACTCCTTGTTCATTCCCAGGACAGAAGGACAGTAATCTTGTGTCTCTGAGCAGGGAATAGAAGGGACCACAGGATGACTTCGGACACTGGTGGCAGGCTGAGCAGCCCAGGCAGACCCCGGAGCCTGTCTACTTGCCCAAGGGGCACAAACTGGGAGAACCAAGGCCCACTGACAGGACTTGGTAATTTTAACTTGCTGACAAGACTTCTGTGCGCTGGCTCACCTAGTGTGCAGTGGGCGGGCACCGTGAAATATTGGCAGTATTAGACAGGGGGGGGGTGGGGGGGGGGGGGTCCAAGGAGGTCACGTGGCAGGGGACGTCTCCAGGTCTTTCAAGGGAGTAACACACTGCACTGTCTCAGAGTGCAGATGGCTGTGGCCATGGCCAGCCCTGACCTCCACAGGCCGCCTTCTGTGCGCCAGGCATCAAGCTAACCCCTTCACAGGCCCTCATCTCATCAGTCCTCACCGTGGCCCTGCGATTACAGAGGAGAAACTGAGGTTCAGGGAGAAGGGGTTTGCCCAGGGTCACTGGCTGGTGGGGGCAGAGCCAGGATTTGAACACCCCCCTCTCTCTCGAGTGGACTGCACTTCAGGAAGCCAGGCCCTTGCACCCTTGTCTCAAACACATTCGGAAAATGTTTGCTCTGCCCGGGTGGTAATAGGGGGGGCCAGTCCCCACCTCCCCGGCCCTAAGCAGGATGGAAAAATACACAGGGGGCCAATTTCCACCTTAGATAATCAGACCCAAATCACCTTCTAATCTAATCAGTCCCATCACAGCAGGGAGTCGGCAGCTCTGCCCTGGGAGGCCGGGAGAAGGGAGGAGGAACCCAAGGAGGCAGCCTGTGGCCACAGCGTGGGACACGGGGACAAGGGGACACAGGGTGAAGGTGCAGCACATGCCCTGCTCAGTCTCAGATGAGCCTCAGGGTGGTCCTCCAGACCCAGCATTAAACGGGCTGGGGAGCTGTGTTCCAGCCGCATGCCCTGCCCCCGCCATGGCTCTCACCACTGTCCCCGAGCCCAGACACCCTCAGTAGCATCTCAGCGTGCACTGGGTGAGACCCCAGTCTGCTTCTGACCCTTAACCACCAATTCCTGCCCTGTGGCCTCTGCTCTGGGAGCATGCAAGTCACTAGGGATTAGTGTTCAGTCCCTCACCTTGGCTCACATTTACCCCTCCCGAGTGCCATTCTCCCTCCTCTGGCCCCAAACCTCCTCCTCGAGGCTCAGGATGAAGGCTCATCTTAGGTGGCCTTCCCTGACCTCCACTTCATCCTTCTCCTCTGAACTGCCCTCCCCTGCAGTTTCCCCTGGGGGCGCTTCCAGTCCTGCCCCCCTCCGCCGGCAGACTGTAAGCTTCCTGAGGGTGGTTCTGAGGGGGAGTCTCCCCTTAGCAGAGACCAGCTTGTAGCTGGGACCCCAGCACTTTTTTTTTTTTTTTTTTTTTTTTAACTGCTGCCTCCTTTTTTGGTATTTACCCTGGTGGCTACATATTACATTTAGGATGGAGAATCTCCACACCCTTCAGAGGCCATCCTTATAGTTTTGCAAAGGGTCAGATAGATCCCAGCCTCGCACTCTTCCTTACCTCTCACTGGGCCATGCCTTCCCCCTACCAGGACCTCAGAGCCTGCTGCCCCTCCTAGCAAAGGAAGAACTGAATGGAACAGGTCACCCCCTGTGGCAATTGTACCCCAGCTCCAGATTACTCCTCAAAGGGCAATATTTGACCCCAAGGGCTGCAGCTCTAATGGTGGAACCAAGTCAAGGTCAGTTGACTAGATCTCCCAAAGGAACCTTGCAGGGTCTCTGGGTAGTGGCAGAGGTGAGAACACTTTGGATGGGGGGGTGGGGGCAGCTGGCAGGGCTTTGCACCAGGACCTCCATGTCCATGGTCCCCTGGCACCATCCTGTAGCCTCCACTTCCTCTAGTCTCATGGAGTCCCTCAGAATACACAAGCACCGGGGGCGGGTAGATAGACAGCACTCTGAGCCGAGGGGCGTGTGGGACCCGGGAACCAGTCTGCTGTCTGCTTCTGATTTGCTGTGTGAACTGAGGCCAGCCCTCTCCTGAGGACAACGGGGAGGTCTAACTTATGCCACCACTTCTCAGCGATGAAGTCTGGGCACCAAGGGTCCCAGAGAGATAGGGCCACTCCTGGGGGCATAGGGTAGTCTCCATGAAAATGCTGCATCTCAGGAGTTTGGATCTTGGTTCGGGACGGGGCCAGTAGAGGCCTGTGTGGACAGACTGTGTGTGGCGTTACCTGCCCAGGGTCACAATTCTTCACTTGATGGACAGATGTGGTAGAATGCCAACTCTGTGCCAGGTCCTGGGGCCCAAAGGGACGTCCCTGCCCTCCAGGAGCTCACAGTGTAGCTAAGGTCAAAGGGCGCAGACCAGAACACAGATCA